GTCTAGGAGTCTCCCCTGGTTCAAAACCATCTTTAGAGGTCCTAGCACGCCATTTCTCGACCCGCTCTTTCGTTTGAGCCCAAAAAAACAATCATATCTTGTCTGACATCTCTGCTACAAATTCTGGTCATCAACTCTGGTTTTCCGCTGAAATTGGAATTGTTCATTTACACAATAATAGGAGTGCATTGACGATTGTTTCTTAACTCGCAAAAATCTTCAAACAATTTGCTACCGATTGGTGATAAATTTTTTTGGAAATAATAAAATAGGGGGGATATAACGCCTTTTTTTTTCAGGGATGATTTTTGAAAAATTTATTTTAAAAAAAGTACTAACTAGCAAATATTTTTTATTAGCTCGCAATTTTCTTCAAAACTACTTCAATGAGGAAAAAAATAAAAATTCGGAATATCTATACATAAGGGTGTTCGCCCAGCCGTCAGATTCGACCGTGGCGCCATCCCTCCGTTGGGGTCGTACTATTTTTGGTTTGGGGTCACCGAAACCCCGAGATCTGAGCCTCTACTTTAGTCTATCCTCTTTGGCTCCATCATCGCGTATTTTGGTATCAACAAGTTTCCCTCAATAGCAATTTCACTTAAACAATTCACAAGAATGAATAGTTTTCATATTTTGTGAACATCTGAGAGGCAAAACAACAACCTCAACACTCACTGGAACTCATACGATACTGAAAAGTAGTGGAAATATTGATCTGAAAGTAGAAATGTGCAAAATTTTGGAGGTTAACCTCTGATTAATTTTAGCGAAAGGCTTTAAATACAGATACTGATTGATAAGTGAACTTCATTCGAAGAAAATGAGTGTGACAAGGAATAACGGTGGAACGACAGGTGATGGCCTTGAGGACCTTGGGATCCCTGGACCAGTTTTCCTCAGAGATGCTTTAACCAGCTGCACAGATCCTCTCAAAGCAATTGAAGAGTTTCAACTTGAAAACGGAGTGTTATTACCTTCCCTACGCCCAATGCTGCCTTTGTTGGACCTCCACGGGGTTCGTAGACTAGATTTTCATGCGTCAGTCCTGGAGGAACTTCGTGAGAAGTTGGTAAAGAGGATTAATGAAATTGGAGCCGAAAGAACAACTGAGAAGGGCAGTGGAGATAAGAGACTGAAGGATATGCTGTCGAAGAGCTTTGCTGCTGTACGAGTTCCCGCACTTCGTCCTGTCGTCATGTGCATTCTCAGGAATACTCCTCACATCGATGATAAGTACCTTAGGGTGCTTGTGAGAGAGAAGGAACTCTACAATAGTGCAGATACTGAAGTTAAACGACAAATTTGGAAGGACAATCAGAGTTTGTTTGGGGATGAAGTTTCTCCTTTGTTTAGTAAATATATTATTGAGAAGGAGCAGGTTCTCTTCGATCATTTGAACTTGAACAGTTTGTTCTTCTCGCCTTCACCTAAGGTGAGGAGGCAGGGGGAAGTTGTGCAAAAATTGGCGCATATGATTGGACACAGTGTTAAGTTATACGATATGGTGCTGCAGTTTTTGAGAACTCTATTTCTGAGGACGAAGAATATTCATTATTGTACGTTGAGAGCTGAATTACTTATGGCTTTACATGACCTGGAAGTCCAGGACATTATTTCTGTTGATCCTTGTCACAAATTCACGTGGTGTCTTGATGCTTGTATACGAGAGAAGAATGTGGATATCAAGAGATCTAGGGAACTGCAGGGATTTCTCGATAGCATAAAGGTACCGTTCGCTCTTCAAACAGTTATGGGTGAAAGTAGATGATTATAAAAGTTGGGTGTCTCTGATAGACTTATGAATCGTAATGATTTACCATCAATATTGTGATTAAGCATGTAATTTCGTCTAATAAAAAACTCAGAGTTTTTTGAAGCCAATCTATTCGACGGATTGTGTCATTAGATTTTTCATAAATGATAGCATACATTAATGATATTACGATAATACTTTATTGTATTATATGCTATACTATATTATAATACATTATGCATAGGGGAGAGTGGGGTAAAATGAAACAGCCGAAAAATGACTATTTGACGCAATTTAAGCGAAAAAAATTTTTTCTTACCAACTTTTGTTTGCTTGAATTTCTTCAAACAGTCGTTTTTTGACTGTTTCATTTTGCCCCACTCTCCCCTATATAATGGTATATATAATATAGCACAATATCGTATACTCAATGCATGTTATTATTATTATCAGTTTATTATTTAATTTTTTTTATTATGTACATTATATTTTACAATACATACAGTACTCTATTATATAGTGTATATTATACATAGTATATATAATACAGTATAGCATAGAATAAAATATAATACAGTATTATCGTAATATCTTTAATGTATGATATCATCATTTATAAAAAATTCAATGTCACAATACGCCGAATGGATTGGCTTAAAAAAATAGAATACATTCCTGAAACTTTTTCTTCGGAAACTTTGATATTAACTTCAGAAATCTAATATAAGATTATTTACTATAATTGACATACATTAAGCCTCATGGCGTACGACCTACGCGCGCGGACTTATCTAGTATCTTAAAAAGGCGGGATTACGGTGAAGATAGATTTTTTTCGCGAAATTGTTAAATATCTGCAGGAATACTCTATGGAAGGTTGTGGAACCTTTTGTCTCAAAATCTCCCAGCCTTGAAATGATTGGATAATTGATGTAAGGACATAAAATCTATCGTGAATTGGTAAACTAGGATAAGTACATTTTTTTCAAAAAAATTATTTTTGCCAAATCGCTTCCACAAATTGTTTGAAAGCGATTTAATCAAAATAATCCATTTTCGAAAAAAAATACATTTATTCTAGTTTAGCAATTCACTAGTGAAATTGAACGAGGTTTGATTGACCCGTTGGTTTAAGAAATACTGAAAATTAATGTTTCATTTGGATTTTTCCTTATTTTTCCTTGGAGAGTAACTTCGGAGTGGTGAGATTCTGGTAAATTTAGGGGAGAGTCGGGCAAAATGAAACAGCCGAAAAACGACTATTCGACGCAATTCAAGCAAAACCGTTTTTTTAATCAACTTTTTATTATTGGGAGATCAGAATAATTATTTCCTATTCGTCTTATAATTCAATTGATTAGATTAGGCCGATTACACTTTTCTTTTTTCATTCGATTGGAATGCAGCATCACATTTTCCTTTTTCCCCCTCTGGATCTCCCCCTGGGCCTTGCTCTGGACTTTGGATTTTGCTGTTTCATTTTCTTTTCAATTAATCCATTGGCGAAATCTTGTCCCATCAAAACTTCTCAAGAATTTTCCAGTCTACTGAATGGAACGTTATTATTCTCATCAAGAATAAAAAAAATTTAATAAACAAAAAATTTAATGAAAAAAATTGTTTTGCCTGAATTGCGTCAAACAATCGTTTTTCGACTTTTTCATTTTGCCCCACTCTGTCCTATCAAAAGACCTTTTTTCTTAGAAATTGCAAAAAGTACGAGAAAGGTCTGACCGATTCTCCTAAACTGCTTCACTCTGAAGATAATTTTACACTTGTGGGTCTTATTTACCGAACGATATTCACATTGTTCTTTTATTTTTTGGTAAATTCTTTGGGGAAGAATTGTATATAGTTCTAATTCTGAATCTACAATAAGTCACAACTCAAAATTTAAACGAAAATTGAGACACATTCAGAAAAATGAGTCATTTGAATCAAATGAATAGTTCCATTCAAAATTATTTGGTTGATTCAGGAATATCATTTAATGAATACCTTATTCAACATAACCCACGGAAAATTTCTATTGTGCATAAGTGTAAGACGTACTATTTAAATAAAGGTGTTGAATTATTCTTTCAGAGAGGACAGGAGCAAGTGCTGGGTGACCTCAGTATGACCCTGTGCGATCCGTACGCTGTGAACTTCCTAGCTAGCAGTGCAATAAAAATAGCGTTGCACTTAATAAACGGTGAATCATTACCAAGAGAAAACGCTGTATTAGTTCTACTCCTCCGAATGTTGGCACTGGGACTATCAGCATGGCAAATGATTGATTCACAGGACTTCAAAGAGCCCAAACTCGATAGCCAAGTTGTGACTAAATTCCTTCCAGCACTGATGTCATTGATGGTTAGTTTCTGATAGAATTACGAGAAGTGATGAAATCAGATGAATCAATTCTTTTTATTTCCGGTGTGACAAAGATCTTCATGAAAACTCTACTCTCATTACACTTAGGCAAATTTGGTGTAAACTCTCTTTGACACTCAATCCATTTGATAGTTGAATAACTGGATATCGCAAACTCTCAAACGGTGAAAATTCCATCGAAAATAAGGATCTAGATATATAAAAAAAAGAAGATACGACGTTTTCAATGTGATAACATTTTTGGAACTTGCGTTTCTCGGGTAGAAAATCTGTTAGAAATCTGCTTAAATTTCGAGTGAAAATTTTTGGAATTGTTAACAACTACTAATTGACGTGAAATTTGCATTTATATTGTCATTGAATTGAGAATTGTGATAATTCGGGCAGCTATTGTTGTGAATTTTCAATATCTCAAAAATTCAATGAAATATAGAATTCAATTATTATATTATTACATAATAATAATCCGATAACAATTTTAGTCTCCAATTCTCAATTTCTGCCTTTTATTCTATTCATTCTATCAAAAGACAAGGATAGAAATCGAATTTGTGGGTATTCGAAAAAAAATTGATTTTAAAACTTTCAGGAGTTATTCAAAAATTTATTTATTTTTCTTCCCGTCTACGTTTTTTTTACATTTTTCTCATTCCTTCTGGTTAAAATTAGATCAGAAAATCGAAAATACTCATATCCCGCCCATATTCGAGGAAAAAACAGTAATTCCAAGTTTCCACCGACGCAAAGAAAAAAAAATTTTCTCCATTTTCTAGTCGATCGTCTCTTGTTAAAAATAGTTAGTCTCCAAATTGTAATTTTCGCAATTCCTTGCCATTCAGGTAATTCTAGTCATTCTATCAAAAGACAAGGATAGAAATTGAATTTATGGGTATTTTTTCATTATTCGAAAAAACTTCGATTTAAAAACTCCATAGGCATTGAAAATTCAATTTTTTAGTTCCTTCCGCCCAATTTTTTACATTTTCTAAATTTCTTCTCTAATACTTGAAGAAAAAAAGTGATTTGATGTTCCCGCCGACATAAAAGAAGATAAAAAACGTTTTCTAGCCAATTATCCGTTTCTGATTCTTTTTTCAGTTCCTTTTCATAATAATAATTGGAATCCGACCATATAATAGAAAAGAGGCGTACCGATATCCTTTTACCATATGAGGGGAAAATGGATTTGAAAACTTTTCAGGAACACATAGAGAGATTGTTCTATTACCCGAATGAGATTTTTAATGACTTTTGTTTTGTGTGTTTGTTTTAATCACAAAAAAAACACTTTTGATCGATCTTTAACATAATTCATGAGGCAAAAAAATATATAATAAGAATAAAAATGGATAAAATTAAATTAATGTAAGTATAAAGACGGAAATGGAAAGAAAATAAAATAGTATAAATTAATCATAATGAATTGTAAAATTCAAACTGTTATTCAAAATTCAATGATTATTTAACACGGAAAACTGGATTTTATTGAATTTTACAGATGATCCGGTATTTCATGGAAGATTTAATTCCAAAGTAAATATGAATCGACAACATTGAAAATTGACAGGCAGTTGTTACAAAAATTTCTAAAAAATTCCAACAGTGTATATTCTGTTTCTCTCTGAGTTTGACATAAAATAGTTGCTTGAACTTATCAATATTTTTTTCTCTTCACTCCTTCAGGTGGATGATCAAATAAGACAACTAAACTGCAAACTGCCCCCAGACGAGCGAGAAAGTGCAATTGCAATCATCGAACACTCAGGTCCTCCGCCAGACGCCTGCCAAGCTTACTCCCAGCTGTCAGGAGTAGCTGCAGTTCTCTCAATGTACTACACGTTGCATGTCGGTGGAGGAACAGTAGCCGGAGGTGCCAGTGCAGCCGGAGTATCAGCAGTCAGTGGAAGCAGTTTAGGTTTGGGAAAGTCGCGTGGTGATGCTCGTGGTCTCATGAGAGTCTTGGCAACTCTACCCAACTGCCAAGCTCAACGTGCCTTTGAAGACCCTTTTTTGCACACTCTAGTGTCCCTCCTAATCCTCAATATGGCTGATGAATTCTCCAACGAGTCCTTCTGCACGGTGATCTTCGACGAATTCTTCCTCGCTGGACTTGGCAGGGACAACGTCACCCGACATTTATTGAAACTACTGTGGTACATTTATCCTAAGCTACCTCCAGCACGTCTGCACTCATTGATGAAAGCACTACAACCGACGAGTCAGCATAATGAGGCAGTTCACAGTCTGTATGAAGCACTTCGAGAAAAAATTGGGAGTAGAACGTCTGAGAACCTTTCACAATCATCACAGGGCAGCAGGATCAGTTTAGATGGACCAACTTCGTCATTGACAGGTGGTGTTTCTTCAGTTCCCAGTGTCTCCACATCACCCAGTCTTGCAAGTCCCATGAGACCACTCTAAGTTCATTGCGAAATCACGTATTCAAATGATTCAAACTAACAGGAGGTTATGAACATTGTGATTGTATAGTTTGAATGTACTCATTTGGTATGGAAACCGTTGCAAGTTTAAGGGGAGACTATTATGATTGCACACATGCATTGGAGATCGATTACATATGGCTGAAAACGTATAATTAGTGCAAAAAAACAATTGCTTATTGTTCGTTTGTCCTGCAGACGCTAAAAATGTGACAAATAGTCCAGGGCCTACAATTTTTGAGCTACAGAGGTTTTTTTTTTCAAAATTTTTGAAAAGAATAACAACGATAACAATTACGAATTAGTTTTTTGAAATTCGACTCTTACACAGCCAATTTAATTTTGTATATAAAAATTTGCGCCATTTGCGTACAATAGGCAAAATAATTATCCTTAAAACATTTAAAATACATTGTCGATTCTTTCAGAAACATTTTTCGAGCCATTTTACATGAATGGTGCAATTTTTTATTACAAAAATAACGAAATTAGCTATGTAGGAGTTGCATTTCTAAAAACTAATTCGTAAAGTGCACACATTTTTTCAAAAATGTTGAAAAAATAACCCTCCGTATCTCAAGAATTGGTGGCCCTATTTTTAACATTTTAAGCGTCTGTGGGGTATTCGTTTTTAGACATAATCGATCTTCAATGTAGGAAAAATCTCATTCCAAGAGCTCGCAACATTTCAAACTCATAGTAATCTCCCCCAACACGATTATTGTCTTTGTTGTTGACTAAGTAATGCAGTATAACATGTTATTGCTATCATGAAAAGATCTTTCATTGATGTAAATTCAGTAAACTCACATTACGAATCGTATGAACCTACTTCGCGTGAATTAAGATCTAAACTGATCAAAATTGACAAGAAACGGAAAGCGATGTATAGTATAGTTTCAATAAATTTATTAATATAAAAAGTATTATTAATCAGAAGTAAGAGCATTATCATTGGTGTCCTCCGACATTGTCAGTGAAGTAATCCATCTATCCAAATAATTAGAATCTAATTGATAAGACATCAGAATCATTGATGTATACATCGTGGCTTGCTTCGTAGATAGCAGATTTTTGATATTTACATCAATGATACTGAGTATTTTAATTATTAACAAGGCCACCAGTGTCCACTCTGCAGTTTTAAAAACGATGTTTGTTGCCGAAAGCTTGAAGGTACTGACTAACGCCTTCACTTTCGCTGATTTGTCTGGAGTATAGGAGTATTGATACTGCCCTGTACATGATAAAGTTCGTAACAGATCTGGAAGGACTTTGTTCAATTTCTCAAGGAAAATCCTGCGTCGTAAGGCCACGGGGGCATGAGCTGGCGTCAATGGAACCACCGTATTTGGTTCTTCTTCTTCTTCATTATTTTTTTCTCTGGAAACTGGAGGTTCAAGTATCGTACTTCCCTGGTAAAACGCTCGTACTTTGACTTCCAACGCCTCAGCTTCCTCTTTGAGGACTGAGAAGTGAGGCATTGGTTGGAGAACAGTCGATTGAATTGCTGAGACTCGATCCTCTTTTGATTCCTCGAGTTGAATAGCATTCAACTTTTTGCAGAGTTCTCCATATCTCTCTTGCATTGTTAGGGTCTCCAGAAGCTTCTGCTTGGTTGATTCGTCACCATGTAAAAGGTGAATTGTATGTTTAGTTATCCATTCTGTGATGCTCTGTTCCACTCGAGATGTTAGTGATGCAAACGATACAGATGGTCTCTGCTTGAGTTTCTTCATTCTGTTGGTATTCTTCGTGAATTCAGATTTTTGAGTTTTTTTGCGTTCCAGAGGTTTTTCAAGTACTTCTACTGAGCTTATAGTTGAAGGCTCTATTGTCTCCGATTTGATGAGTGAATTGTTTGATTGCGGTTCAGTGCTTGGGTCTGTTTTTTTCTCTTCTAAGATTTCCGATTCATTCCGAGTAGCTTCCTCCAATTTTTTGGAGTCGGGAGAAGATCGAGCTTCGTTCAATGATTTGCCACAATCTCTTGACGAAGTTTCACTCGTCTCATTGCTGACATTCTTGTTTTCTTCATGATCCACTTTCCGTGCACTCGTCGCGCTTGTTTCTTTAGATTCTTTTAAATCTCTGTCATCTTCTTTCCTAATGATTCTATCTTCTGTTTCTGATGGGCGATCTTTATCCGATGGAAGATCAAGTCCAATAATGTTGACTTCAACCCCAGGTGGGTTTCTCACTGCTTCTTTTGGTTTATCGAAAAGTATAAAATCTGGAATTTCTTCTTCAGCTCTAAGCCAAAGAGGACTTGTTAACATTTGTTCCAAAAGATATTCACTTGCTGAGTAACACCAAAAGCTGCAGAAGTTCTTGGTTTTTTGGACATCGTAGACTTTATTCCTCAGAGTTGATATTTTATACTGTTTGTTGACAACTTTGGTCAGAGGATTGTCACACAGGGCATAGCCGCAGAGCTTCATAATCGCTCTCTCCTCGATCACGTCTTCTACATGAGATCGATTTATTTGTCCCAGCTGTAAAAAAGATGGTTAAATATCATGCCTTTGGTGGAAATTGGAAGAATGATGGAATTAAGGCCTAGGCGGATTATCTTTCGATTGTTATCTCGATTGTTTTTCCATCTTCATAATGTAAAATATATCACAATTTACACTGGATTACATCACGCAGGAATCCCTAAAAATTATGATTGTACAATCAAAAAAGTAGATAAAAACTGAACATTTTCAAAGAGCGTTTTTAGTAAAGATTAAGAAATAAGTCCAATAGAGAGGAAATAGTGAATAGATAATTTCTCATGGTAACTAACGATCTGCCAGCCATTGACTACTGTGACAAATGACGACCTAATAACCATTAGATACATCCAATTATTAATTTGCAATTTCCTCCCTATTGGGTTTGTTAATTTTTCCCAATATTATTCAAAAACGCACTTTGAAAACGTTCAGCATTTTTTCACCGTTTTTTTCATCGGACAATCGTAGTTTCTGGAGACTCCAGGGCTATGTAAAACTGAATAGCAATTGGAGATCATTTTAGATTATGAAAATAAAAAAAACAACCAAGATCACGTTCGAAAGATAATCTACCCGAGTGTTAATAGTGAAATTTTCGTTATTTACATTTTTGAGCATCCATCCCTCTTCAACCTTTGTTTCTATCAAATGTTCTACGATTTTCAAAGCTTTAGCATCACATTCCACCTTTCTCTGAAGCAGAATAGCCGTCGGAAGTTTCCTACAACAATGATTGGCATTACAAATAATCCAGCACTGGACCGGCTAAAAAAATTAGACTGAAAATCCTTCGAAAGAAAGAATTTAAGGGAAATTTATTCTGAGGCCTTTTCTGTAGAGAATTCAATGATTTACAGAACAGGTCTTTTGACATCTCTCAAGTCTTTTCAAAACGGTTTAAGGGGAGACTACCATGAGTTTTAAAAGTCGTGGGTTATTTGAATGAGATTTCTGATACATTGAAGATCGATTATATATGTCTAAAAACTAATAATTAGTGTAAAACAATTAATTGTTTATCGGTCGTTTACCCCGCAGACATTCAAAATGTTAAAAATAGTTCAGGGCCTCAAATTTTTGAGCTACAGAGGTTTTTTTTCTTCAAAATTTTTGAAAAAATGTGTGTAATAACAATTACGAATTAGTTCTTTGAAATTCAACTCCTACACAGCTAATTTCGTCATTTTTTTAATAAAAAATTTCACCTTTCATGTAAAATAGCCCGAAGAATGATTCTGAAAGAATCAAGAATACATTTTAAATAATTTAAGGATAATTTTTCTGCCTATTTTACATGAATGGTGCAAATTTGTATATGAAACAAAACGAAATTAGCTGTGTGGAAGTCGAATTTCAAAAAACTAATTTATAATAGTTATTGTACATTTTTTCAAAAATTTTGAAAACAAAAATCTCTGTAGCTCAACAATTGGAGGCCCTGGACTATTTTTAACATTTTAATCGTCTGCGGGGCAAACGAGCTATAAACCATTAATTTTTTTGCACTAATTATTTGTTTTTAGACATATATAATCGATCTTCAATGCATGAGAAATCTCACTCCAATAACCCGCATCTTTTAAAACTCCTAGTAGTTTCTCCTTAAATTTTGATTATTGACCAGTTTTCAATGAATATCTCGGAATCTAAGGGAGATAGCAAAATTTTTATCAAAACATTTTTCGCAGCCCTTAATTTACTCTACAAAAAACGTGCGTTACGAAAATTTTGTTATCTCCCTTCAATTTGGAGATATTCTGAAAAAACTCTGCTGTGTCCTACGATGACTTCGACCGTTTTACAGAACATAATTTATGAAAAAAAGTCTTACTTAACAGCCTTGACAGCTTTAATCCTTGCATTCTTCAGTTTCGCCTTCTTAACCGCTGGGTCATTCATAATAGTCATAACAATTGAACAATTAGGCGACAGTAGAATTAATTAACATAATCAATTGCTAATTGATTTGAGAAAACAATAAACAATGCAAGTGAGGTTAGGCCCCCCCACTGCCCACAGTCAACCACGGTGACACCTCAAACGACGGACGATACTCAAAAATACCCCAAAAATACAGGGAACCATACACTCCAGAAAGCCCGAAACTAAATTTAAAAAAACAGTTTAGAGGCTCAAAATTAAAAAATTAAATCACTCAGTAGCAGTATTCACCGGAATTCCTGGAACTGAACTAGAAGGGAATATTCGACATATCAGACGTTGGCCTTGAACTTGGAACTGCAATACACTGAATGCACATCATATTAATATATGTGCCTCCAGTATCGACAGGTGTACAAAAAAAAAACAGTCTCACTGTGCTACTATTTGCGAATAAATGCCATAACCGTTTTACTGCTTAAAACACTTGCTGGTAGGCCGAAGAGGGCACGACAGTGCACAGACAATACACATCAGAGTGGGATTGCGCGGTGAAAATTCTCCCGTCAATAATTTACATCATTTTTTAGGGGAAAAAAGTATTAAACATCACAGTAATTAGGTTAATAAGTTAGTTTATTTGTTGAGGGAAGATATGTCACTCATCAGAACAGTGTGGGAGTGCGCATTCAGTCCGAAATTGTACAAAATACAAGAAACAACATGGGTAAATGATACGCAGTGTATTCGTGCAGAAGGAATGCTAGAAGGAATAGTGATTATGAGGTTACTGATTAATATTAATTGAAATTCTATGTTGACTTGCAGAAATCTTACGAGCCGAATAGTTTTGAGCGATGGGGCGACCACGTAATAACATCAGTGAGTACAGAATCATTTGTTTATTCATTCGATTCATCGTTTAAGGATGTTTGCACATTCTGCCCATGTCGAGTTTTTCCTCATATTCGAAACGAATTCGTTTCCTTCTGATTGATTGACGAACATATGACACCAATTGTTCTGATAATTTTGAGGCTTTATTTGCATAAACTCCAATGCGATTAGATAAATTTTGTTTTTTCGGATACCGACTCTTGGAATTTATCCTTCGAATGATTGCTTGGTTGAAATATTTAAATAATTAAATGGATAATTTGGGGGGAGGGTTAAATAAATATGCTATTTGCAATGGCCACTAAAAACGAAGATCTTTCCACTAATTTTGGCTCAACATTCACACATTCACTGTTAACATTTTTTGCTTCCGAATGAGAGCATTGCAATCCTTCGATTTTCACATTTTCTAATTTTGAGTGGAAATGATGTAGAATTGTGTGAAACGTAAAAATACAAAGTTTTTCCACCGCCCCCTTACCGGTGGTCATTTTTTAGAAAATTGAGTAATTAAGTGGCTAAAGTGATTCCAACAAATCTGAAATTTCGTCAGATTATAGGTTTTACTGAGGACTAACTCTGTCGAAAATATCAGCCCAATTGATCTAATAGTTTTGGAGAAAACGTGATTCGTTTTTAAATAATTTTCCGCAAATATGCTCAAAACTAGTGGACCGATTTCGATTTTTTTGTTTTCAAAATATTCATTATTCGATGCCTTCTATCTAAATCAATCAAAACATATATACCAGTTCATACAAAGTTTTCGAGATATTTGTATTTTTCCGTTTTCTCATAAAAAAAACTTTGTAAATAGTCTAGCTTGGGTAAAAATCGAGATATCAACTTGAAATTTGGACGGAAAATATGTATACCCGCTCATACGAAGTGTTCGAAACATTGGAATTTTGATAGCAACCATGGAGGTGGTAGTAACCATCTGAAATTTTTGCTGCTAGTTAGTGTTGTGAAGTTATAAATTTTTGTAATATTTCAGACCATTCGGAAGCTTGCCATCAATCTATTCATAGCGAAAAAAAATAAGACATCACTCAGTGACATGCTCACATGGCGCGCTGTCATATGCTCGCTATCCATTGCTTATTTGAAATTTCATAGAAGATACTATAGTAAATCTCATGAAAGTGCCATTGAATCGAATTTAGGGAAAAAATAGTTATGAAATTTCAATTTTTAAGTAGAATTCACGAAAATTCATGAATTTTTAATGGGATTGGGATGGAAATTTCACCACTCGATTGAATTTTCAGTGGAACATGAATATTTAGAAACAAAATGACATGAATTTTCAATTTTTCCCTCAATTTTCCTGATTTTTCTGAATTCTCACCAAATAATTGACCTAAAAAATCAAGTATTTTTTTTATTTCCAGATCATTTGAACAGAAAATCAATGGAATATTTGATTTTTCAATGACAAGATTTCCTGAAATTTCAGTGGAACTTGAACACTATAAAAATTTCCGGAATTTGGCACAAAAAATTCAGACGAAAATTTTTAACTGTGTTCAGTGCGTTTCGCTCATATTCTATGCTCTACAATAATAATTTTATGTAAACATCCTTAGCAGACGAGTGACTGGTTTCTTAGTAAATTCGCATTTTTTTCAAGTTCGTAGCAATATGGTCAATCAGCGTGTACGCTCTGCCCTTTATTGCAACGTTTATGTATCGTCGAAGTTATTCGCTGACGGAGAATGCCCATTCCCTTACAAAATTCGTTGCCGGCGCGGGCTTCATTCTCATCGCATCACTGGCGGTGCGAGGATATGCACGAGCTAACAATCCTATTTATGTGAAGTTCATCAAGACTCTGAGTAAAGCTAAAAAGTCTTATAATTATGAGTCCAAACAAGATCTTTTGAAGTATGATTTCGAGTTCTGGGCTTGGCCAGCTGATTTTAAAGTTAGCTCAATAGATCGGTAAGTGATTCTTGCATTTATTGATTACACTGAAAAAATAGTTTCTTGATTTAATCCTTGAATTTAATCCTGAGCCTCTACTGCATTTGAGAACGATTCAATTGACTTGAGATTCTACTTATTTCAAGCGCATTTCATTGATAGATTTTATCCACTGGACCATTATACGGTCAATATCAGCAATCTTAATGTAGTAAAAGTGAAAAAAGAAGACAAACCTTTAGGTTTCCAATCTCCAACGTTTCGATAACTAAATGTTTTCCTCATCAGGGCGTCATTTTATTACACAACTCTTATGCCATCAGATATTTAGGCATCTTGGAGAATTTCAAACGCATCAAAAATTAAACTCTAGTCAATAAATATCAAAAACCGATATAACCAAATTCATGACGATCATTAAACTTTATTTAGTGATCTCTTACTCATCAAAAATAAAATGAATAAATAAATAAAATACATCGATAAATCACAAAATTCAAACATTCTTGTCATCTGTCATTGAAAACACAATATTAACTTACAGTACAATATAACTGTATTTTCACTGAATATTCCTATTCATATTAAATTTCGTTGAGAATTTATTTCGGATTTTAATTTTCAAAAATAAAGTTATTTATTATAGGGGAGAGCGGGACAAAACGAAACAGCCGAAAAATGACTATTTGACGCAATTCAAGCAAAAAGATTTGTATTAACTTTTTTTTAACAACTTTTTTTATTATTGGGAGCACTGATGAGAATAATAATTTTCTATTCGGTAGAATAGAACATGCGGTGCGAAAAAATCATTGATATTCGAAACCCCTGCATAACGTATCGAATAACTACACAGATGAATCCCACTCCCATGTTAGATCTCGATTTTAACATCCACTAGTCAGCTTGTCCCCTGACTCTCCAGCAGCCAAACTAAGACCTCGTCATCGCTGAATCTGTTTTCTCCTCACTTGAAACTCCCGAAGGTTTTCCATATATTTCTTATATCAAGGAGACAATATTAATAATTTTCACTAATTTTATCCAGTTCTGTTTTCAAGTAATATGAAATATTTAATCTATAATTAAACTGATTATATTAGGACAATTACTCTTTTATTTTTTCATTCGATTGAAATTCAGCATCATATTTTCCTTTTTCGCCCTCTGGGTCTTCCCCTGGACCTCAAGTTCCTCTGGACTCTGAATTTTGCAGTTTCATTCTCTTTTCAATTAATCTATTGACAAAATCTTCTCCCGTCAAACCTTCTCAATAATTTTCTATTCTGCTGAGTGCAAAATTATTATTCTCACAGTATTCCCAAGAATAAAAAACGTTGATAAACTAAAGTTGATAAATTTTTTTTGCTTGAATTGCGTCAAACAGTGGTTTTTCGACTGTTTCATTGTGCCCCATGTTTCATTTTGCCCCACTCTCTCCTACTACTTCAAACCATGAATGGAGTATTCATCTTCTCCTTACAGACCAGATGGTAAGAAAAGAATAATCGTGACAGCCACGAGCAGATCCACAAGGAGAGGAGGGAAAGATTTGATACTTGCTGTGCCTTGTAAAATAATCTCTTACATTGTTGCTCATACAATTGCACTGAAACTCATGTATCCTGGAAGTATGACACTAATTAACATGGCCCTGAAATCAGCAATGATTCAGGGAAGAACCGATTTGATTGATTTGGGAGGCCAAAGGTGTAAGATCATTACATTCGAAAAACTGGAAATTGATGCAATGTTTGTGGATAGACGGAATAGATCGAGCAATGGGAATATTCTTGTTATTACGTGCGAGGGAAATTGTGGCTTTTATGAGACTGGTATCATGGCGACACCTCTCAACAAAGGGTATTCGGTCTTGGGGTGGAATCATCCCGGATTCGGAGGCAGCACGGTGAGTAAAACAAACCAAATTAATTATATTTAATGAATTAGTGAATGTTTCTTGCAAGTATCTCTGAAAACTGCAGACTTTCTTTGGACAGAATTTTATTCTTGGTCCAGAAAATATTTCTTGCTGTTTTTCTTAAATTCTCGAACTCTCTTCTATTGAGATATTAAATTAAAAACAAATGGTTATCCAAGTACTACTATATTTTTGAGAATACCTTTAAAACTAACGGGTGAAGAGAAAAAACTCAAACACCTTTCTTGTAGTCCATCAAATTTTTTCCAAAAAAAGTTTCAATTCCTGACTAGATCAGCTAGCTTGGGAGATTTTTGTCGGGTAATTTTCAAATTTACTCTGTTTATCCCTTTTTGCTTTCAAATGGAAGCATTGTAATCTGTAAAATTTAAGGTTTGGATTTTTTGTATTATATCGACCCATTATGATTCAAAAAGTCCAAAAATTCAATTTTTAGACTGTGTTCGTACGTATGTGTGTATAGTTTTTCTTCAATTGTTTGCTAATGAATGGATGGAATTGAATCGTCTTTTTTTTTTCAAATGTAGGTGATGTTGAGCTCCATCGATAGCCATTAATTGAAATTTAATTCACCCATTAGTTTTTTAAATTTTTAGCAATAATCGTTATGTTGATTTATTCGAAAATTTTCAAAAATTTTGTATTTTTCAAAAATCTGAATTCCGTGGATATCTTTGAATATCATGCGTCAAATGAATTCAATCATAGCTTAAAATGTTTGTTTTAATGCCATTAAGTCGAAGTTAGAAGATGATTACGATAGCTATATTGGTTGATTTGATTTTTACCATGATTGTTGGAAATTTCGAATTTTTCATGAATTTCCCTGAAAGTGAGCTTTCTGAAGGTTTCTTCAAATGCTTCAAATTCATTTAAGTTCGTGTAAATAAAATTTTTCGATCAACATTTTCTCGAAGGGCTGAGGGGAAAGATAGAACTGTAAAAGAGACAATCGGTTATATAGAAGAAAAGGGATAAGAATAATGATGCTGATAACATTCAACTAAATTGAAAATCTAACGAAATTAAGTAAAAGGAAATCTTATTCAATTTAATAAAATAAAATAAACAATGAATTATACTTGATAGAAGGAAATGATGTGCAAAATTACCATTCGGAAGCATATTGATAATTTATCTGCACAAATAACTGTACTATATACAATTTGTACAAGAACAATTTCCCACTTGTTTCTCTTCGAGAACTACAGATGTCAATTGATCAATGTAATTAATCAAATTTGCAGGGAGCTCCTTATCCTCCATCTGAAATAGATGCAATCGATGCTGTGATGAGATTTGCAAAAGAAAATTTATCTTTCCCTGAGGATCGAATTATCTTATACGGATGGAGCATTGGTGGATTCACAGCCACGTGGGCAGCTATGAATTATCCTGAAATCCATGGTCTAGTTCTTGATGCCACTTTTGATGACGTTCTGCCTCTGGCTACGTCGAGAATGCCAGCGACCATCGACAGCATTGTACGAAACGTTATCAGAGATTATTTGAATCTCAATGTCGCCGAACAATTGAAAAAGTATAAATTCTTTAATAACGCATTCATTGAGTTTATTCTCTTTATCAATCTTATGCAAATAACCGTTTATATATGCTCCTTTTATTGTTAATGTAGGTACGATCGTCGTGTTTTATTGGTGAGACGCACAGACGATGAGATAATGTGCACCCCAACGAGTAATCTCATCCACAATCGTGCAAATTCGTTATTAACAAAATTATTACTGCATCGTTACCCACATTTATTTGTCGAAAATCGGGAGAGCCTCGATGTGCTGACACAATATCTGGCAAATCCTACCCACGACACCAGTGGAAATACTACGAGGTCACTTGTTGCTAGGACTCAAAGTAAATACTTGATCATTCAATTTTAAAAGTAAAAAAAATTACCACGCAATTTTCTTTGTAGGTTTCAAAATATCTTACAAAGAAGATCAGTCCATAAATTGTCATCACTGCCAAATTTGCAAAATATTTACAAAATAATTTGTAACTTATCAAATTCATGATTGTTTTCCCTGTTTATTACAGATTTATTCAGGACTGGTAGTCCAATAAATGAGAGCCTCTGTGCAGAAGAAATTAGCAAAGATATTGAAAATAATAAAGGAGAAGTTAAATATCCATCAAGTTTGGGACAAGACTGTGATACTTTAATTAAGCAGCAACTTGTTATTTATCTCGTGAGTTGTTAAATTCTCATAATTTTCCTCTCTCATCGATAATATCTGAAAAAAAATTGTTTCAGGCAAGTAAATATATGGAGGATCAAGCCTCTCAGCACTGTGCACCCCTAGTGGTCGAATTATTTCACCCAGGATGGGATCCACGGACGCTCCATTCCAAGACGACGTAATACAAATTTCATAATTCTGAAAAATAATAACATGCAGAAGAAAGTTATCGATTTCTCCATGAAAAAAACTGATTGTTCACTCCAAATGTGTCGAGAATGCTGCAAGTGTGATACGAGGCATTTACTTCCACAAGAAGAATCACACCCTTCACCCTTGAATCGTCATCAAAATCAGCCTTTGATGTTTTGTTTTCTCTCGAGTACCTTGAGGCTCAGTGAATAGAGTAAATACAAAAATCGTGGATGCGAACGTTTTTATATTAAAATATTAAAAACAGAAAAGCACGAAGAGCATTTCAATAATTTGTTTACAGAGTAAAAGAGCAAGAGTTGAGTTAGTTTGAGCACACCTGCGTACCGATATTCCTCCAGTTGACGTGATTAAACAATAAATACATCTCTCTGTAATAATGACATCTCTGCAGATTTTAGGAAAATCTACATATTGATTTTTGAAACTCTGTGTCGGCTGGAGCGTTACGTGCTTGGAAGTTTATCCAGAACTGCTTTGAGGGAGATTTTTACTTCCTGGAATGGATCTACGAATTTCCTTCCTGTCTTTATGGGTTTTTCGATGAATAACTTGAGTGCATCTTTCGTTAAAGATGGAAAATAATCTTTTTGAACAACTTTTTCAAGAGCTTTGAAGCAACCTTCGAGGTTCCAATCAATTTTTCCACCACTTTTGTCCTCACTCTGCAAAAATAGAAATCATTTTTTACATTCCAATTGAACATATCGATCGAGTTATTAATAATTTTTATTTTTATTCTAATTACTCACTTTTATAAGCCCCAGATCCACCAATAAATTATTATTCAACTTCGACATTTGATCATTCTCTAATGCATAATGAAACAACGCGGAGTACAAGAGATCTGTCAAACGTTCAGCCTCGATTCTGACATCAGCGTAACCACTTCCACAGTGCGAAGAGACTTTCATCACAATGTGCAATAGCTCGTCAACGTATTTCTCTGATTCCTGACAGTTTTCGCCTTGACAAAGTGTCTAGATAAATGGAAAATACAAAATTAATTGGGGAGAGTGGGGCAAAATGCAACAGTTAAAAAACGATCGTTTGACGCAATTCAAGCAAAAATTTTTTTTTTTATTAAATATTTTCTTATTAACTTTTGTTTATTCTTGGGAGTACTAATGAGAATAATAATAATTTAATAATTTTCCATTCAGTAGAATGAAAAATTCTTGAAATGTTTTGATGGGAGAATTTATCAATGGATTAATTGAAAAGAAAATGAAACGGTAAAATCCAAAGTCCAGAGGAAGGCCCAGGGGGAGACGTAGAGGGGGAAAAAGGAAAATATGATGGTGAATTTCAATCGAATGAAAAAAAAAGTGTAATCGGCCTAATCTAATCAATTGAATTATAAGACGAATAGAAAATTATTATTCTCATCAGTACTTCCAATAACAAAAGAAGTTAATAAACAAAAGTTGATAAAAAAATTTTTTTCGCTTGTATTGCGCCAAATAGTCGTTTTTCGGCTTTCATTTTACTCCATGTTCCATTTTGCCCCACTTTCCCTTATTGGTAATCCATAAATTTCAGTCAAATTGTTTCGAAAATATTCCTTAATCAAGGAGGTTTACACTAAATTTTCGAGATCTTTTTTGTTGTAGAGAATTTTTTATGGAAAAAAGTCTTCAGGTAATTCTATCCAAATTTCTTTCTTTCGAATAGATTCTCGAAAAAAAATAATCTGCACTCATCTACTATTCATTATCACTCCACTCCCGACTTATTTTTCAATGAAAATAGAAATACCTTAGCATACTCCAAGAATGCGGTGACCTTATCCCCTTCGATTAGCAACAAATTTTCGCCAGTCGAGGATTTCATAAACTCCTTAACCTCGATAGGTTTCTTCATGCTCTTCTCTTGGATAGAAGTCTGAACTGGCTGCTCCTTCTCGATATACACATCATCATCCTGATCACTGCCTTCAGTCTCTTTCTCTTCCTCCCCATCCTCTCCTTCCCTACCAGTCTCCTCATCCTCACTCTCTTCATCATCTGTGGCATCCTCATCAAGACTCCCAAGTGACTCAATCCGTTCAGAACTCACCAGGCAATTCCTCAAAGCAGTTCTTCCACTCTTTCCGAATGCATTTCCATCTAGCTGGAGACTAGTCAGCTGAATTTTATCAGCAACAGCACGGGCTAGAGACTCAGCAGCTCTTGTACGAATCTCATTGAACGCGAGATTAAGCTCTGTAAGTGAAATGTGATTTCCTTGAATACCAAGGGCATCAGCAATTACTAATGCACCTTTAGTTTTCAATAAACAGTCTCCAAGATTTAAACATTCAAGAGCTTTGAAATTGTGAAGGACATCCGCGAGTGCCTGAGCACCTTTTGGACCCACAGTATTATCATTTAGGTTCAAAATCCTCAATCCAGGATTATTCGATAATCCACTAGCTAATGCAGAGATTCCAGGATGATAAATTCCATTCTGTGGCATCACAACCTCCTCCAAGCTCCCCAATTTCTCGAAGACATCAGCGAGAGCTTTGGCTCCTTTGTTCTCCAGTCTATTACGTCCAGCAATAAAGACTCTCAATGCCAGAGGTTGACCCTCCTTAGAACTGTTTGCATGACAGTCCAATAGTGCCTCTGCTAACATTTTACCTCCCGCCGTACCCAAACCGTTGTTGTTGAGACGTAGCACTCGAAGAGTGTAGCACGTGTTTGACCTTAAGAAGGCAGCAAGCGCTTGGATTCCAATGGGTCCAAATGCATTGTCACTCAGGTCGAGCTCCACTAAACGTGCACCTGCACGGTTCAATCCGTCACCAAGGTATTCCAGGGCTTTGGGGATCTCGGTTTTCATTCTCCCTGTGAACATGTCCTTCCAGAGAGCATACTTCAAGTGAGATCCATGGCTTTCCAGTGCTTTTGCAACCGCTTTCGCTGCATCTGGGCCGAGAGTGTTACCTTCAAGGTTGAGGTAGCCCATGTTCTCGCATTTCTTGATCTCGTCGCAGACTTCCTTTGCTACATAAGCAAATTGATCATTAATAATGATTGGAAGAGTTGAATTGGTGGGTAAGGGGAGACTACTTGTGAGTTTTAAAAGTCGTGGGATATTGGAGTGAGATTACTCATGCATTGAAGATCAATTATATAAGTCTAAAAACGAATAATTAATGCAAAAAATTGTTTATTAATTGTTTATTGTTTGTTTGCTTCGCAAATACTTAAAATGTTGAAAATAATCCAGGTCTTCCAATTTTGGAGCTACAGAGGTTTTTTCAAAATTTTTGAACAAATGTGTACAATAATCGATAATGTGTAAAAATTCGACTCTTGTACAGCTAATTTCGCTTTTCTTTAATATAAAAACTTGAGCTATTCATGTAAAATAGGCAGAAACATTATCGTTAAAATATAAAAAATATATTCTCGATCCTTTCAGAAATATTTTTTGGGCTATTTTACATGAATGGTGCAATTTTTTATTAAAATAGTGATGAAATTGGCTGTGTAGGAGTTGAATTTCAAAAAACTAATTCGTAATTGGTACTGCACATATTTTTCCAAACATTTTGAAAAAAAAACCTTTGTAGCTCAAAAATTAGAGGCTCTGAACTATTTTTGATATTTTAAACTTTTGCGGGGTAAACGAACAAACAACAATTAGTCTTTTTGCACTAATTATTCATTTTTAGACATATAATCGATGTTCAATGCATGAGAAATCTCATTCCAATAGCCCGTGACTTTTAAAACTCATAGTAGTCTCCCCTTAACAGTATATTTCCTCTCGAATACGTTACATTACGTTCTGATGTGATGTGTCCATTTCTCTAGAAAAATTCTTGATAGTTATGAAATTAAACTCAAGAATGAATTATTTTGAGACAATCGATTACTCAGAGGACACAGTAATCACTTGACTTTAGCTATAATCAGTCGTTTTAAAAAAACTTGTTTAATTAACATATCAAACCATTACTCCCAAAAATGCAACGAACTTTTTTTATAATGAACTTTTCAAGATATAAGAGAGGTCTTTGGACGTTTATGTGTTTAATTATGCAAATGATTACATAATTAAAAAAGATGTAATCGAGATGTATTCGGATGACCATTTTACTGATAGAAAAAATGATTTTTATTGAGATGTTTCTTTCTTGGAATAAGTATTTTATACTTGAACCAATTTTAAATGAAAAGATCTTACGGTGAATATCAATTATTTCTTCTTGAGATTCATTTACTTGAATTAAATAAAACAGTCCTTGCCGTCAAGTCATGTATCCACCACAAAAATTGAAAGGTTATACTTTTTTTCACCTAATATAATCTCCATTCAAGAAATTTTCTACTTCCATGAATTGATCAAAAAATCGTGCTTAGAAGATGATTACATTGAGGAATGAATTGAATGTTGTTTTCTCGAATGAAGCCGATGTTTAAATTGAGCTTTCCGTACATCACATTGAACGAACACGTAATATGTCATTCTGTTATTGGAGGGGAGAGTGGGATGAAACGGCCCCTTTTGATTTTTTCAAAAATGTTAACGGCTCATTCAATTTTAAATAAAATGAAATAATTTTTTTTCTATGGAAACGACACTTCTTCCCTTTTAGAATGAGCCTAAACTGATCTCAATTAATGAATTTGTTTCTGCGTTATGAGTATCACAAAAAAAGTTAAAAGGGGCCGTTTTACCCCACTCTCCCTTAAACTAATGCAATTTTTTTTTAGTCAAGAAATATTAACTTCTTTCAACTCAACGACATCTTACTACAATCTCAAAGCTTTTTCCGCGTAACAATATTCATCCTGATTCGACATACGAAATGCTCACTTCAATTATAATTTCCTTGGAGCAACGTATAATCGTGTTGATTGCGATAACGTGTTTAGTCATGAGAATAATTTTGATTTTTGAGTAAACCAACGAATTTCTGGAGTTAGCAAACTTTTGGCTAGAAAGAAATTAAATACTCTCATTATTGCGACAAATGTATCTCAAGAAGGGATAACGGATATTCACTATGAAATCCTGTTTATTTGAAAATTAACAATCGAATGATAGCTGGTTTAAATAAAATTCTCTTGATAAAATTAATTTTTTCTGTCAGTGTATATGCAAAGTTTCTGTGTGTCGTTGTTCAGTAATGATTCATCACAATGCAAGAGGCACTTCACACTAACACGCGTGATTTTCCATAATTTTCTCCAAGTTTGTCGTCTGCCTTTATACAAGTTATTTACTCACCATCATCTTCGGAGTTGAGTTTCAACGATTTTCCTGAGAAAGAAACACCGGTACCTCGATCATCCGAGCTAGCCTTATTCAGCTGCTCGCTGATCTCCTTGAAATTGAACGACATTGTACAAGGACACTTGCACCCAAATATTCGTGATTCGACCACACAATCAATGGAATAAACACGATAAACTCAACGAATTTATCCAAAAAACAACTCAATTTCACCGAGTCAAATGCAATTTGCTCGGAATAACCGCAAATGCTTCGAATCACGACCCACGCTTTTGTGTACGTTGCGTTTGCACGCTGAATAGCGCTTGCAAGGCGGGAAATCAGCAGCTGTAACAGCGAAAACGTTTTGGGTTGGAATTTTTTTTGAATCTGCCGTGCCAACTGCTTTACCAACCTCGAATGATTTCATGTTATTTGGCCAACTTCAGATAATTCGATTCAACCAATGACATGCAATATGGAAAACGAGTAAATTGGTAGGACTGGAAAAATAAAGCTAAGTGCACACACCTGGTTTGACGAAAACATGGCGTAGAGCAAGTAGAGTGATTTTGTTACACATGTGTCAGCGATTTTTTTTTGGTAAGAAATATCACAAAAAGTACTACATCTGTACATTGATGAGGAAAAAAACGTATTAATTCAGTAACACGTGATTATTGTATTGACGGATGGCTTTTTTCCTGTGTTTTATGTAATGGTGATGCTGTTGGGTTGGACTTAGGTACTTTGAGACGCATATTTCGGGGTTTTAATATTCGATCAGCCATTTCATGTGTTTTATTATGAAATTCATCATTCTTGCATTGATGACTATATTTGTAGATTTATTTAGAATGAATTTTCAATTTTTGTCTAGTTGTAAACAACGATTGTAGATTATCTTTGCGAGGTTTGAGAAGAACAATTATTGGTGTCATGTTTGTGGATTTTTTAGTTTTTTCTTTCTTGAAAAAAGTGCTGCAGTATTTATTGGAATTTCTACGTTAGCTTTTAGCCACTTATGAATGTAGATGAATTTGTAAGTTGATGGAGAGTATATTCAGTTTATTGCATTATACCCGGTGTTACGCGGAATTGATGACTCAGTAATCGTTATCTCATCGAAAATAACGCGAGAAAAATAGAACATAAATAATTATAATGGCTAGAAATAAAACGGTTGAATCAAGACAGTTCTATTTATAAAAACAATTTCTTCTGTATCACAGCCGCCCATGTATTCCAATTCTACTAATCGGACCAAATTCTGACCAACGTTGGAAACAATTGAGAAGCCGTAGATAACCGTAAGAACTCACAACTGTATATTTTTCTAAGCAATGAATAATCAATTGAGAGTGTGATCATCTTTGTATAATTTTGGAGATTCGAAGAAACGTAATAAGGTAGTGGGAGTTTTGGAGCAGGGGTTTTAAAGTGTGAAGAGCCATTTTCCAAGTCTTGGTTTAGATTGTCTAAATATAAATTCAACTGCTGCGAGAGAGATTTCTACACTGTGTAGTGCCGTGTCAAGTTTTAGCCCATGTCTTAGAGAACCCTGTAGTCATGACTGCTTCCTGCTTTGTCGTATACATCAAGAACCAGAAGTATTCCACCTTTCTCATGGCCCATTGCCAAAATTCTCATTTTGCCAATTGACGATAATGATCGCTGATTTTTTAAACTTTTTTTCTCGGTTATTCTTAAAATTATCACACTGCTTTGCTTAAATTTAGGCAGAATTACGAGAAATGGGTTTGTGGAAAATCGTGGGGAATGCATTTGGAGTTAACTCCAATGATTTTCCGTCTAGACTTGGATTCTTTTATAGAGAATTGATGATTTTATATAGACTATTCGGCAAATATCTCCTGAACAAGTGAGTCTAGTGGAAAATTTCGGGAATCTTTTTACGGGAAAGTTGTATTTATCTGCTCTGAAAAAAACGATTTCTTAGGATTACCTACACCATGATTCCTTCAGATGGCTTTATGAAGAACCCGGATATTTTCTATAATGTATAGATTTTATCGGAAATGTCGAATACTCTGAAAAAAAAAATTATCCTTGCCAAATATCCATTTACTTGAGAAAAGTATTTAGTTTTTCAATACTGTATTTCCCCAGTCGAGTCGTTCCTAGACAATCTTCATTAGATTTCACTTATCATAATTATATTGTTCTAGGAAATGATCATGTTAGTTACGATTGTGAGTGAACTCCTTCAATAATTATTAACATTAAAAAATTAGTCCAAATTCTTTCCTCTAGAAAATGAGAAAATTAGTAGAAATGAGTAATCCTTGGAGGGGTTCATCCAAGGTCATGGGCAACATAGTCATCCTCTAGCGCAATATGATTGCCATAAGTGAAACCCAACCAGATTCGCCTGGGAATGACCCGACTGGAGAAATACAGTATTGAAAAAATTAATATTTCTCTCAAGTAAATGGATATTTGGCAAAATTTTTTTTCTTCTCAGTGTATTCCATTCGAAATGAAGCAGTAAATAAATTTAAAACGTGGTCAATTCAGAGTGCAGAAACGCTTGTAGACTATGAAATACTACATCAGACTAGACGCCGGTCACAAAGATCAAAAGAATGTCGTGACTTAATGACAAAAAAATTCCTGTTCTTTCTCCCAATCGAATCATTGGTTATGTTTACGTTTATGGACATTAAATTGTTCCTCTGAAATTAAACTATATTTCAATGAAGATTTCCTCTATAATAAATCTTATAGGAATTCAGATTTTCTAGTTGTCTAATAACCGAGAAAATTTTCTGAAATACTCTTCAAAAAAGAACCTTCACAGCATTTCTTGTATAGGGAATCAGGTTGCCGATATACATCTCGAAAATCTCTCCTCCACTGATACATTAATGTATACTATAATCTGCAGCCCTATTTTTTACTTAGAAACCATTACTTCCAGACGATTTTATAAATAGATACTTCTAGGTTTGAAAAAAAAACTCGAAAGTTTTTTTTGTCTCTCAATGCATTTCTCCAGACTGCTCTCTTTTGGAGACATTACCAAAAAAACTTTGGAAAACTATTTATTCTCCTCTCGTTTATGATACCTCATTTTTCAGGAAGGCATTCATTCACTTAATGCCTTCAATTACGCCCATGGAAAAATATATAAAAAATATATATAATATAGGCCAATTTAATGTTCTTCGAATACATATAGGATTTACATAATATATAAATTTATGTCAGTTTCATATATATTGAAATTATATTTTATGTAACTTTTATATATAAACCAGGCCAATTCCATACATAAAATATATAATTTTCAGAATGTATATTTTTCCGTATGGGTACACTTTTCCTATTTTTTAATTCATCATTAATAACTGAAAGATCAATTTCCAGGTGAAAACAAAAATGGTGGTGGTGGCAGAAGAATCTTTCCTCGGGGATGCGATCGACCATACGATGAGTCCCTTCGCCAGGCACGGCGTTTCCATGCCTCCAGCAGTCAACCGTAAAACAATAGTGGTTGTATCAGGCCTCGCAAACATCCATGCTAGAGTGTTGGAGCCACTAGACGACAGTCCCACCCCAAGATCCGTCTTATTCAGTCAAAAAGCCACAGCAAGTCAACTTTACAATGCAGTGTCACACCTCTACGCTGGCTACTCCTGTCCTAACTCCTTCAACCTGGTCCTGATGTACAACGACAAGAAATACCCCTTAAAATTTGAAAATCAACCGATTCCGAACCTCGACCTGCAGCCGTCTCAAGAAGTGTACTCCGCCAACATCGGTGTCAACCGAAACAGTGAAATCATCAATGGGGATATTCCTAAAGCCGAAGAAGATGCCTCTCACAAACCTCAAGTAGATTCCAGCAGTATAAAATCATGCATTAACAAACCCACTCAATCTTACTTGATGGAAGTAGTTCCTCAAGACTGTCCGCCCCTCCACGCCAGGAGTTTCTTGGTCTCCCCTTCAACCACTCTCCAGGAGCTTTACACCAACATCATATTTTTTCGCGCTTCACAACCATCAGAAGGTATAATAAGAATATTCTACTTAGCTGATCTATATCAAAAGTATACATCAAATGTATATAATACCACAGAGTTGTTTAAGAGCGTGGGACTTTTTCAAGGAACATTAGAAGAAATAGGATTTGACTTCAACCGACCAAACCAAATTTTAGCCCTCTGGACGCTCGACAATTCGTCTGACTCAACCCCTGTTCCTGTTCTTCCCAGAAAACTGGCAAATGATTTATTCATTCGCCAAGAGGAGTCCTCTCCCTCCTCACCACCGAAATTTGAGTCCTCTGTGCAGAAACGAGAGATTATATTCAACGATCTCCTGAGCGCAATGAAAGTAGAGGATGGAATGAGAACTGAACGACAAGACTCTGAGGCTGAAGCTAAACCAGAGATGGTGTACGTTGGTCTAGTAAACCAGGCAATGACTTGCTACTTAAACAGTCTTCTCCAAGCCCTCTACATGACTCCAGAGTTTCGAAACGCTCTCTACAACTGGGAGTTTGTAGGTTCTGAGAAGGATAAAGCTGGTAATAGTATTCCTTATCAACTCCAGAAGCTCTTCCTCAACCTTCAAACATCAACAAAGGCGGCAGTCGAGACGACATCCTTAACGAAGAGCTTCGGCTGGGATTCAACAGAAGCCTGGCAGCAACACGACATCCAAGAGTTGTGTCGAGTGATGTTTGATGCGTTGGAACAAAAGTTCAAAAATACTCAGCAGGCAGATCTGATTAACAGACTTTACGAGGGAAAGATGATTGATTACGTCAAATGTTTAGAATGCAGTACTGAAAAATCACGGGAAGACACTTTTTTAGATATCCCATTGCCAGTTAAACCTTTTGGAAGTAATGTAGCTTATAACAGTGTGGAAGAGGCCTTGAGGGCATTTGTGCAACCCGAAACGTTGGATGGAACCAATCAGTATTTCTGTGAAACCTGTAATAAGAAGTGTGACGCACATAAAGGCCTCAAATTTAGCAGATTTCCCTACTTATTAACTCTTCACCTCAAACGTTTCGATTTCGATAACAACACTTTCCACAGGATCAAATTGAATGACAGAGTAAGCTTCCCAGATGTTCTCAATTTGAACTCTTTCATCCCTTCTGACAATCAGGAATCTCCAACTGCTGAGGAGGACGCTGGGGTGGGAGTAAAATGCGACGATAGTTCTACGACTGATAGTGGGGGCTTGGACGAGTGTTCTTTGAATACCAATGGAATTAATGAAAATGGAATCACCAGTGAAGCCACTAGTGATCATTTAAATAATCATGAGCAGGATGATGATGAGGGCATTGACATGAGTAATGGGCCATCAACATCGAGTACAGAGCACAGTCAGGAGGACACTCGTCATCGATCGGCCAGTGGTCCTTATGTGTACGAATTGTTCTCAATAATGATTCACAGTGGTAGTGCCAGTGGTGGACATTATTATGCCTACATTAAGGACTTTAGAACCAACGAGTGGCTGTGCTTCAACGATCAAAATGTCAGCCCAATTACTGATGACGACATTCAAAAAACCTATGGGGGAGGACCTACCCGGGGGTACTACAGCGGTGCTTACAGCAGCAGCACAAACGCCTATATGCTTATGTACCGTCAGATAGACCCTGAAAGAAATTGTCTACCTATGGAGGTCAATTGCTTCCCAAAACATATTCAAGAGTTACTAGTTAAAATGAAGGAACACGAGGAGGAGAGGAAAAATTACGAGAGATCCTCACAAATGTACAGGATAAGGGTACACGTCCATCATCCAGTAGAAAAGACTATTAAATCGAGAAGATTGTTTTCAGCTTATGATGAAACACTTGCGGACTTAATGGAGAGGGCTTGGAAAACGTTGGACTTGGGGAATGTCGTTGATTTGGATCAGTGTCGTCTTGTAACATATGACGTGATGTCAGACACTATTGACTCAAGCTTCGACGATCAGGATGAAGAGACTCTGGGTATACTTCTCCAACAATCGAGTCCAGATATGTTGTTAGAAATTCGAAAGAAAGATGAGGCGTTCGAGAAGTATGAACCTGGTGGTCTTGGTACGAAAGTATTTCATATCGACTGCGTCAATAAAGAAATTCTTGATGGTCCAATTTACGTTCGGGGATTCCGTACACAAACACTTATAGAGTACAAAAGACAAGTGGGGAAAATTCTGAAGATCAATCCAGAGAGAATGGTGGTGGCTCTCCAAAACTATCCATCAGGGGTGAGGATAATTATGAACAATAATAATAAACTGATAAACGAAGGATTTACGAGTGGAAACCTGGTATTTGTTATGGCAAAACTCGACAATAATTTAGTCGAAATTGTCGAAAAATTCGAAACAATAATTTGTCTTGATGTCGAATTGCCTGACACAAGCAAAGAGGTATTGGAAGAACTGGGCATTCAGTCATTAGAAAGCAGACAGCGAGAACTGAAAGAAATGAAAGAATTAAAAGAGCAAAAAGAAGCTGAAAAACTTGATAATCAGAAGAAAAAAGCTGACGTGGGAGAGGGAAGTCACCAGAACGACGAATCTCGTGATCAAGCAAGCAACTGGTGCCCTGAGGCTTCTGCTTGTGATAATGAAGAGTGGCAGGAGCAGAGCAACAGTGAGGACAGTAGTCTCAGTGATAGCGATAGAACACTCGTTGAAAATGCTTCGGAGGATGGCGAGATTAATGTAATCACTTTTGATAGTGAGTGGTACCCTCACAGCAAGCCCATCAATAAAGAGGACAACTGGGAGATGGATCAGGAGGAGGAGACAGATTATTTTTTCAAGGCTACTCCCTATGACAAAGATGGTCAGAAACATCTGAGGGTGGTAGTGGATAAAAGAATCAAATTCAATACTTTCAAAAAACATCTGGAGCCTTTTGTTGGAGTTCCAGAGGAGAATTTCAAGATCCTGAGACAGGCCATTGATCCAGCTGATGTCGATTGTACGCGGCTCACGACGTCGTTGAGAATCTGGGAGGATGGGGAGAAACTTAGTATAAAACTCGGTAGAGCGTTGAGGTCTCATGAATTTAGGGTTAAAGTGTTCCTTCTAGAATTGGGAAATTATAATAAACCTTCTCAGCTTTTATTCGAATCCACTATATCGAAGGATGCTACTGTAGAGGCTGTCAAAAGACAGCTGTTGGCTGAGTTGCAACGAAAACACGATCAGTCGATTCCTTTTGAAAAATGCAGACTCAGGAAAAAACACTTTCAAATTCCATCCAAAGTTTTACTGAATGATCAGAAGATCAGGGACGTTGGTTTCCAGACACAGTGCGAGGTGTTTATTCAGGAATTGTGGGAGGAGGAACCTGTTACGAGTAATAGTCAGATTGTTGTGATGGTGACGAGGGTATTCACGAATGAGAAAGTATTGGGACCCATTCAGGAGATTGTGCTTGAGGACAACTGTTATGAGGAGTTGGCGAAGAAAATGGTGGAATTGTCGGGGATAGAGTTGGAGAATTTACAGGTGACCAAGGGCAAGTGGCCGTGCAATTTGTCTGAGTCACGGGTGTATTGGACACCGGCTAATAAACCAGCTTGGCATGTTGGAACTATTGAGGATGGTGCTAGTATTTTCTACAGGTATTCCATTCATTTTTCTTCGTTGAGATTAGCCGTCAGGAAAATTTTCAAATATCCATTGCCATTTTACTTTAGGGTCATTAGTTTCAGGCACTTTCAGCGAATTTAGGGGAGAGTGGAGCAAAATGAAACAGCTGACAAATGACTATTTGAAGAAATTCAAGCAAAAAAAAATTTTTTTATCAACTTTCGTTTATCCACTTTTTTTTATTATTGGGAGTACTCATGAGAGTAATAATTTTCTATTCGTCTTATAATTCAATTGATTATATTAGGCCGATTACACTCTTTTGTTCATTCGATTGAAATTCAGCATCACATTTTCCTTTTTCCCCCTCTAGCACCCCTCTGGGTCTCCTCCTGGTCGGGACTTTGGATTTTGTTGTTTCATTTTCTTTTCAATTAATCCATTGACAAAATCTTCTCCCGCCAAAATTTCTCAATAAATTTCCATTCTACTGAATGGAAAATTATTATTCTCATCAGTACTCCCAAGAATAAAAAAAAAAGTTGATAAGCAAAATTTAATCAAAAAAGATGTAATAAAACATTTTTTTTGCTTGAATTGTGTCAAATAGTGCTTTTCCGACTGCTTCATTTTGCCCCACTGTTTTATCTTACCCCACTCTCCCCTACATATAATTCATAATTTTTTATGGCACAAACCAGTGTTATTATTTATAACGAGATTTATCAGAATGAAATGTTGATGAAATTCAATCTTTTTTTCAATACAAAGAGCAATTCTTCCCCTTTGTGACGAGCCTTTCTGAGCTCTATTGATGCATTTGTTTCTGAGTTATGAATAATTTTAAAAAAGTTTAAAGTGTCCATTTTGCCCTATCCTCCCCTAGTAGGCGACAAAATGATCGGTCATTTTCGGGGTAGGCGGAAAAAATGACCGAAAATGAACGGTCATTTTGTCGTTTACCACACACGATGCGTGTTACTACACATCGGCTATTTTTTCTTTCGGCTTTTTTTTCGTACATTCTACCACGAAACTCGAATTTTCCTTAATCGTCCAGCAATTGGCCTGTTCACTTGACCCCTGATATTTTTACTGAAAATTTCAGTCGACAGGGCTTCTAAACACTTAAAAATGAGTTTTCCATTTTTTTTCAAAGTTGTCCGAGGCTTTCTTCAGTGTTATTTAAAAATTGCAATTGTAGCGCGTGCGCTCATAGCGCGACCAACAGAGTGATATCACTTGACTTACTAGAAACTACGAAAGTTGATGTTCATCAATAGTTCCTGATTAAATTGTCTTATCACTCATTACAGAGATGCCGCAGAAAAGTGGACATCAAATACCCAAGAAGAAATGTCGACAGCGGAAAATGAAGCGGACAAGGCAAGAGGGAAAATTTCAAGAGGCTCCCGACAAAGAGCTCTGGTGAGAGTGTACAATTACGCCGAGAGTCCGAGACGTGAGAAAGCTCTGAAAATATATCTCGATGATAAATGATCCACCTGTGAGACTGTCAGTATTGATCCAATCTCGCAGATCCATCCGATTGTGCAGATGACACAGTGCTGAGCAATTTTTATCTCTATTTATTTCTTTTTTTGTTTTTGAGAAAAAACATAATTCGTGGGAGACACGCCAGGCGATTTTTTTTTAATTCCTCAAATGGAATGTGGAAGAAGAGATCCTCGCTTTTCTCCTGTCATGTTATTTTTTTCGTCATTATTACTACTCGAAATATCAATCATACCTGTAATTACGAAATGGAATCCCTCTTTTTCCTTTTCCTCGAGCATTTACCCTCGCAATTAACATGCATATTCACCAAATCGAGCTTACGTAATGAAAAAAGAGGAAATTTTCACAGATAATTCGAGTGATTAGAGTCTGTGGAGAAAATTGAGAGAATGATAGCCGAGGTTAAATGAATATTTTTTAAAGACTAAAATGAAAGGAAAACTAGGGATGTTGGATGACAATTATTTCCTCCTGGAATTTAATCGACGATCAACTATACCTTCTCTCTGTATCATACACTGTAGTTATGAAAGAAATTATATTTATAATTAATTATTCACGATTAAAGAAAAAGAAAAAGCAGAAAAAAATATACGAAGCTTCATTGAATTTTTTTTGTCGGCATGTATTTTATCAACTTAGTAGAAACTGGATAGCAGAGAGTTATCGGATTAAATTTTTCATGCTGTCATTTTCTGTCCAAGTAATTGAATTTATTTCTTTTTGCAAGTTTTTATTATTAATCTTTATATTAAGGAGGCACTCAGCGATCTATTTATCAAAGATCTGTAAATGTCTAATACTAAAAACCAGTGCCAAACGATTTGTTTTCGGCTAGAATTTCAATAGATTAACGACTCGTTTATTATTGTGAAAATTTTCGAGACAACGAAACATTGAAAATGGAAAATGACATGAGAAGAAAAAATTAAATACGTTATGAAACTTTTCATTTTCTTTATTATTTACAATCATTCTTGGTTTCTTGCTCTATTTTGTTTCATCGTTAAATGTCACTGCAATTTTATTGCTTTCTGCTCGATGATGAGCAGCGTATACATTTTTAATGGTGATCTACATTTTGTTCTGCATGTCGGAAGTAACAACAGTCTAATAATTATCGCAACAAGGTACAATTGATTCTTTAATTATTCTGGCACATTGTTTATGATATAAAAAAAAGTATTAATTCGAGTACGTACAAAGAAGCGCGGTGTACACAGATTTTGTTTTTCCAACCTGTCATTTTTTATTATTTTTTTTTAGTTCATTACATCTTATATGGAATAACTACTCTCTTATGCGCTTCGTTACACTGAAAAGCAGCCGTAATTACATTTTACAGGAAGAAGAAAGCTAATTATATACACACACTATATATAAACACTCGAGTCATTTACAAAGAGAAAAAAGGAGTAAATTCAAAAAACATTTTTTGGAATTCTTTCTCTGCGTTACAATACATTATTTTTATTAACTTTCTTCTGTAATGCACATTCCTCACAACTTTCTGAAATGGTATAACTCAAAGAAGAACAAAATAGTAGTAAAAACGGATTTAAAGTAAAAAAATCCTTTTCATGAGCTGTTTCTTCTAGATTATCTTTAAAAAAATGCAAAGTGCGCTGTTTACATTGCAAATGAGGAAGTTATGGTAATTTCACGAAAAGAGATCAATGGTCTTGAACTCATTGAGATTTGGAGACGATTCACGCGTGAAAAAAATCAATAGAAAACCTAGCGAATTCTCTAGAAAATTCTATTGAAATCCTATAGGGATTCTATGGGGTTTCTATAGGATATATACAGGAATTCTATTGAAAAATTCTCCTGGTTTTTTGCGCTGATTCTATTGCATATTTGAATTTTACTCTTGAGATTGTGTCTATTAGAATTATTAGGCACAATTTTTCTATGTTTTTCCGCTGGTTTTTGTTTTGTTTTGTATTACAGAATCCGAGTGGAAAAAACTTTGAAAATCGATGCTCAAGTATTCTTATAGAGAAATCTCAGGAGAAAAATTCAAATGGAAATTCGAAATTTATTGATTTTTTCTTATCGAATATCCAATAGAATCAGTGCAACAAAATATATCATTTCTATAGAATTCTAATAGAATTTCCTAGCGAATTCGCTATTGAATTTTTTCATACGAGTTGACAGATAACTAATTCAAAGATTGGCTTGATCTAAACGTCTCATAAATATTCTTGAATCGAAAGGAAATTAGTATATTCCCATAGGGTTCTCTTACATAGCAAAACGAAGCGCACTACTCTCGAAAGACTCACGGCAAAGTAACTTGACATGTAATTTATTTTACACGTAAAATTTTTCTTCAATGAGTTACATTCCTTCAGACTTAACTATCACCCATAAATTTTCATACATCAAAATTGTTCATAAATAATTTTCAATACTTTCTTACACATTTACATTGTTTTTTTCGAATTATGTTTATTGACTTTCGAAGGGACGGAATGTGCAAATTTCGAGGACTATCCAACACGCCCGGGGAGGTTTCAGCTAAAAGGTGAGTGGAAAAAGAGAGGGAGAAGTGAACAAAAAAAAGTCGACATAACGCTTGTGCGTGAAGGCACAAGAGTGCAAAGAAGGGTAGACGGGTTGTACACGGGGGTCGCGCCAACACATATCTCGCCTTCGATCTTGACCGAGTCCCTCGCCGCCCGTATATTTACATGTATAATTTATATATCCCGCCCGTGAAACGCAGAAAAGAAAGATGCTAGGGCGGGTACGGGCGCACGAGGCCATAAGAGTCTCGATGCACATACTCTACCTACTATATCGCTTGGGTTCGTTGAAAAATTCCCCCTGGAATCTCAATTTGCGGTAACCCTCCCCCCCCCTCCCGCGCCTCTTTTACCCTCCACCCCAAGTTTTTTCCTTTATTCACATTTTTTCATGTCTTTAATTCTTCCCACGAGATGGTGATTCATGTGCACGTGTCTATCTCCTTGGCTTTTCACGTTCCCCCTTCAAATTGTATTCACACGTTTTGGCCTCATTCGAGGGCTCTGATATGCATTTTCCATTTTAGATAAAACTTTCTCCATTTACATTTTCAATTGACAGCTCTGTAGAGCTGGGGACAATCGCTCAATCACATGAATAAACCTCATTTATATATAAATAATTTATAAAAATGGAGAAGAATATTTACAGCTTTGAAAGATGAGAATTTTCATCACTATTTAATATTCTCTTTTACTTTCATAATTATTTTTCATACAATAATATATACTCAAGTCTTTATACAATACAATAGTTTTCGATTAAATTAGTACTGATAATTTATCTCTCGTTCTTATGATCCAATGAAATTTCACATCTTCATTCACACATATCACTAGTCGAAGTTTCAACACGTTTTCGAAGTTCATCGATCGTGTAGACAGAAAAAAATACAGATTTTAATCTTTCATACACTTAAACTGATGATATATCATTTCAGCATTTTATAAAAATGCTAGAATACTTTAAAAGTCAGTAATTTGTTCTCTCCCTACATATTCATCTAATAAATCCTCCAAAAACATCACAATAAATAAAAAATACCTCCCCAGTCTCTATTCATTTATCCCTAGCAAAAACTCTCAAGATTCTTTTCGGGCTTGAATAATGTGTTGCTTCTCGGGCCGCTTGGCTCTCCCTCCAGACCGCCCTTTCTTTCTCATCTGCACATTGTGACCGCGAGACCCGCAATTAATTACTCCGTGGCCGCTAGGCTCTGTGCCGTTGCATCTGTAGCGCCTCTTTGTCTTTCACACTCGCACACATTGATGCTTGAATTAAAAACAAAAAAGACCAACAATCACAAGCACCCACAGTGTCTTGTGCCACGGCTTTCTCATTGCTAATAAATTAAACTTCGTGTAAGTATGGAGGCGACCTGTCTTCTCTCCACGTACACAGGATATGGACCGAAGGGGACATTAATGATATCCTGAGAACGTTCAATCGATATGTTAACCCTACCCTCTCGTCTTTTTTCGTATGAACAAATGTTTCTAATATCTGTTTACCACTCCTTTTCATCTCCATCAAAACAACTTCATGGCGTTGGTCGAACATTGTTGCGTGCACCGTGAAGAGACGCCAGGCGAAACAGAAGTGAGTAAAAGAAAAATTCAGCGAAACCATTGAAAAAAATCTTTTAAAAAAGTAAAAAAAAACCCTGAGCAAGAGCTTGTTAAAAAAAAAGGATTATGGCAGGAAGAAAGGAAGAATGAGAGGGAAGAAGTCCCTAAGGGGCTCCCATTGCAGACGTCGAATTACGAAACACCTGCAAAATAACTTCATCAGATTCATACGCCTGAAAATTTTGGCAATGGGTCTCCCTCGTGTTCAGTGTGTTGGCTTCTGATGATACTAATCATCGTCGAAGAAAAAGAAGGAGTGAGACTTTTGAATCTGTTGAATTTATTTCTCAGTATGTCGTTGCGATTTTGGACACTGAGAATATTTTTGTTTTTCGCTAAATATTCATTTACTTGAAAAAAGCATTTATTTTTTCAAAATCGTATTTCTCCAATTGACTCATTCTCAGGCGAACCTGATGAGGTTTTAATTATTATAATCATGTTGCCTTAGAGGATGACTATCTTGCACATGACCTTGGATGAACTCCACTGATTATTCATTTTTCCTAAATTTCTTATTTTCTACAGGGAAGAATTTCAATTAATTTTTCAATGTTTATAATCATTGAGGGAGTTCACTCAAGGTCTTAACTAACATAATCATCTTCTAGAGTAATATAACTGTTATAATTGAAACCTAATGAGAACTGCCTGGAAATGACTCGGCTGGGGAAATACGGTATTGAAGAAATAAATACTTCTCTCAAGTAAATGGATATTTGGCAAAGATATATTTTTTTCTCAGTGGAGTCAAAGCTAATTTTGCAATGTGTTTTTTACTGAATCATTATCTATTCTCTGGATGCATCTTTCGTTTTCCATTCTGTGGATTCATTTATCGCTGCCAATCTGTACTGTCCCTGGTCTTGATTAATTGGAGTTGTTAAAACTGGTAGAGTTGAGGGTTGATTGGTTGAATTTGAACTCAGATCACTGTAGTAAGCACTACTGGGCGCACTGCTGAGAAAAGGACCGTCAGGTTCATTATCACTACCTGTGTATCCAGTATTTTGGTAAGAGGGATTAATTTCACTAGCACTACCATTACTCCTGTGAGTCTGAATGTGATGATGATGATGGTGATGATGATGAGGATGTGGATGAGGATGAGTGTGATGATGATTTTGCACATGTAGGGGGATTGGAGTCGATGGGCCATTCTCGTACATCTCGTAATCAGACTCTTTTAACCTCTGACTGTGTCTCGTTCTGATTGAATCCCTCTTTAGTGTCTCATTATCACTCGTCGAGTATCTCCTGTGGAGTCGAGCGGCATCCAACTCATGGTACTCATCCTCCTCACCTGGTGTCGTCCCCCCATCACCATACGTTGAACTACCCCTTAGCTGTAATTGTAGATCACTAGCATAACTCGCTGTCTGTGAGTCCAATTCAGCGTAGAGTGCCTCATCAGTCTGCATGTGGGTGTAGTGATTCTCAACTGGTAAATTAATGGCACAACGATGCTGTGGGAGACTCAGGGGGGTCGTTACAACCCCGGCTGTGCCACCTCCACGACGAGAACCCAGCCAGGACCATACGTTATGTCCTGCAATTAGAGATTAAGTACTTGTAATGTGATTCATTTTTCAAAAGGAACAAAGCAATAAATTTACGATTTAGAAAAAGTTCTTTTGCAGCGTAACGTTCGTGAACGAAAAATATTATTCATCACTAGGGCGGAAATTTTTTTGTAGCTCATGAATGGAGCAGTCGCCGCCGGTTCGGGCTGCAACCTAATATTCACCAGAAAAATTTTCTTTGCCCTAGTGACGAAATGGACTGACAATGCTCTGAATATGCCATGGATGGGAATTCTTTTATGAGTTTCTATAATTCGGGACAAAATTGCTGGAGAAGGATGGAAAATAATGAATTCTTCGTCTCAATATTCTTTCCATGTTAAAAAAAAAGAATTTATCAATAACGAAATGGTACTATCTAGTATCCACGTTTCCTCTCTCGAAAAGAATGAACAACAAAATTGAATTGTGGAATTTTAAAGGGGTGAGAAGCACAAAGAGAGTTCCCACTCTTTCAATAATTTTTTTCCTTTGCTTCTGACAATGGAAGAGAAAAGCCTCTGAAATGAGAATGAATATTTTTGAGGGAAGAATTCTCTCCTATTCATGATTCGATTTGCCCTCTAATTTGCGTACAACTTACCAGGGGTAGGTGTAATATCATGATAAGGGGGTAACTTGTCAAGTTCTAATGGCGGTCTATCCGGTATGACTGATACACCGCCACCCCCGGCGACGCCTCCAGTCGCCGAGCTCACGGGCTCCTGTGGATTCGCTTCATCAACGCCTACGCCACAGCAACCGCCTGTTGGAAAAAAAATTAACCAAAGCATAAATATCAGTTCAACCGAATAAACGAGCATGATGGAACAATGGGACAAAGAGTTCCCCCGTTATTTATCACAAAGATCGATGGCAAAGAGGAACGGTCATAGGGGAAATTAGGTCGAATTTCTGTTTGGGGTGGGAGTGGCTCCTCAAATTTCACCCCACGTCATATTTTTCGACACGACCGTTGAACTCATATTCTCATACATTTCTTTCCCTTATTTTTTTTATTCCTCGTAACCTGTCTCAGTGCGTTCCTGAGTGTAATACTAGGGGTCTAACGAGTGGGAGAGAAAAAAAATCGAGGGACGAAGCTGCTCAAGTGCCAGGTGAGGGTAGATATTTGGAATTCTGATATGGTCCCAGCATATTTACCCGTTCCTTTACATACGTATCCCCCGTGAGGCATTATGACATACACGAGCATATGAAAAAAAGATACGAAGGGACTATCCCCCCACTGGCTTTATTCCTCCTTTTTCAACTTCTCGTCCCGCCATTGTGCTCATGTCATCGAGACATCCAGGCTGGATTTTGTAGATCACAGGAGCCGCTTTCAGGAATGCAAAAAAACCATAAACATAAAAAAATGCATCATCCAATATCCGTTCTCACTTGCATATTTTAATATACACGCGGGGTTTTGTTGCGCAATAAATTTGTGAGGGAGCGGTAAGAGGAGAAGCCTAAAAAATTCACTGTGACGTATTCCGCGAGTATCTCCAGAATTACTTGGTGTTGGAAGGAATATAAGAAGAGCTTTCTATTTTGCAATTAATTATTCGGACTATACAATAAAAAAAATTTTTTGTACTTGTTTACAATTGTAAAAGACTAATTGAATATATCATGTTCAAATGACTAGTTACTCCTGAAATTACGGTATCACTTGCCAATGAATTCAATTCGAAGTCACCCATGATATCACTGAAATCAAGAGTTCACTGGATTCTCGTCATTTCCAATTATAGAGTCATTTTTTGAAATCACAATAAAATTATTGGTGGACAATGAAATTTATGAAATCAATCCTTCCTGAACGTAGCATAGACCGAGGGACCATTCATTTGTGAAATGATTGCGTCACTCAGGACTGAAATCGTATGAAATCAGTTGAAATCAAGTGAACTCAGTGAAATCCCGGGATTTCATCGATTTCAGGTGATTTCAATTGAAATCACTTTCAATCGGTGAAATCTCATTGAATCATGAAATCAGCAACTCATGAGACCCTTTCGAGTACATAAAAAAGAAAGAAACTTTTTCAACTCATTTATGGTGTATTCTTCTACGTATGCCCATTTACGTGTATTATTTTTGACACAGAAAAAAGAAAAACAAATCGGTGAAAAAAACGCGTCTTTTCTTGTACGACCTCCTGAAATCCTCAGAAAATATCGAAACATCGTGTTACCGATAGAGACACTATCTGCGGAAGAAGACAACTAAACAAAACAAAAGTACAACATCAAAAATCGATATTTCCTGAGAATCTCCCCCCCGGTAAGAATTACATAGGCTGACGATGAGAACAAGCCTGTATGAGCCCAGGGTTGGTGAGGCTCATGTTGAGTGTCGGATAAGTCTGAATGAGAGGAAACAAACTGTGTGTGTGACAGTCTAGAATTGGTGTTCTTTGTCAGTAATTATTTCAAATATTTCCACACTTGCGGAGCTGAGTGCTTCAGCACTTCATGGGTAATGGACGAGTCTCTAAAGCAGTAAACCACCAGCTCGGGAGGTAGCAAATAAATAAAAATCAGAGTAAAAAAAAACCTCTCTGTGTATATGTATCTCGTGTGGCAGGCGCACGTACGCCACGACGCCAGTGCTGATGCTATCAGCCACCAAAGGCACGGTTGATTTCAAATCGGAAAGTTAATTAGACGCGTTTCACTGTCCACTGTGTCGCCTGTCTCCCCCCTCTCTCTCTCTCAAGCTGCTGTCTGTTCGATACTAGTGTCTTTCTTCCTCAAACCACATGGGTTGTTTTACATTGCCGATGTATATACTACCGCTTCCATTACGCCAACTAATTAAACGCCAATCAATCCTTTCGACCCCTTCGTATCTTGGTTACCTTTGGGGACCGTGTGTGTACATAATACTGATCATGATAACTATTTGGCTTGTGGCCAGTGTCGAGGGGAGACCTAGGCATAGTCAATTGATATAGAACTTGAGGAATGATTCATGGTGACTTGAGTGTGATTAAATTACGATCAAATTATGTTGAACTCGAGTTATACCACTCGATATAATTTCGAACTGTCTTGCCTATTCACGTATAATGTTTTGGATGAACATTTAGTGCAATTCACAACTGTATAATGCAGGGATGCAGAAATGAAATGAAATGAAATCTTGATGTATATTTCAAGAACTCTGTGCAGAACAATTGCGCAGGTGAAAAAACAGTGTGTGTGTGTGTGAAACTACTGTCTCCGAAATGCTGTAAATGTTGTTTTTTGTTTGCGAATGAAACTTGTAATCGTTGATTTTCATGATCTTCTAATTTTTCCTGGAAATTACGTAGAATGTCATGAAACGTGAAGATATGATATTTTTTTAGAATATGTGTGTACGTGTGTAGTTTCAAGATAGAGGAGTTCCTCAAAAATCTTTTTCCCTCAATATCTCGAAAACTATGTGACTGAATTAAATTTTTTTGACATCACACTATTCCTTGTGATAATATTTGTCAAATCAAATCACAATATGGCTATGTAACTTGGGACAGTTTGATAATAATGGGCATTTTTCGTTTTTATGAAAAAAATGCTCTGTATACGATAACTTCCGAAAAAATTCAGAAGATAGGATATTGAAATAATAAAATAGGATGTTGGTGAGATTGTACCTCTGGTGATATTACAGGATGGGATTGGGGGTCGGCGAAATCGGTCATGTGGTTTAGAAGATATTCAACTTTTTGTCGAAAACTGTTTCTTTCAATATCTCCCAAACTACTAGTGGGATCATTTTTTTTGCCCAAAATGTTCTTCTTGCCGCACCCTGTCAAGATCAGTCAAAATATGAATACCTGTTGGCACACAGTTTTCGAGATATCGCGGTTTTCTAATTTTTTCAAATGAGAGTTAATGTGGCATTCCATAATATGCGCACAACTTGGAATGAACAGCCAAGAATCTGGCTACTAATTAAAATTATTGAGTCACACTTGTGTATCAAATTTTGTGTCGATTGATTCAATACATTTTTATATAGAGCAATTCATCCAAAAATCTTTTTTCGTAAAAAATCACACATCGTCATTTTATCGATTACTTCGCCTCTGGAAGCTTACTTTCGACTTGTGTGAAGCCGGATTTGGGTGTGAACGAGGCTTCGTTTATGGATTGCACATGGTAAGCCAACAGGCGGTCCGTAAACAGAGACACATCGACACACGAATCCGTCTTCACGAAACTCGAGAATAAACCCTTAGAATTAGTTGAAAAGTCATGTAATAAAAAATTCATTCGAATTAATATTCGATGAAAACAGTAAATGACGTGGAAAAAGAAAATATGGGGGACATTTTTCCGAGCAACAATTTTCCAAGAACAATTTTCGGGGAACGATTTTCAGGGGAATATATTTATCCTAGAACCACTGCTGCAGATCCATTCGGAAGCGCATTACTAGTGGAATTGATAGAGAGAGACAGAAAAAAGACTAATAACGCATGAAGTAACGGTCACATTGCTTCTGTCGAATAGGCTCGCAACCCTGCTTGTTTGTATGTTTTGCCATTAATTTAGTAATCTTTCTATATTATAAAAATCCAAATCGATTTTTGATGATAAAAATTTGGGACTCGAAATTAAGACTCCAAACTAAAGGGTCACAAGGGTCAAAATAGGGGTCATGAGAATCAGAATAAAGCTCGCGAGGATCAGATTAAGACTCACAAGGGACAAAAAAAGGGTCGCAAGGGTCAGAATAAGGGTCCACATAAGGGTCATGGGGGTCAAAAACCACGGGTCGGAAAATAAGTCACGAAGCTCACAATAAGGGTCACGAGGGTTGTTAAGGATTGAGGATCCAAATAAAAGTCACAAGAGTGAAATTAAGGGTTACGAGGGTGAGATTAAGGGTCACAGTGGTCACATTAAGGGTCACAAGTGTCAGAATATCTCTCTGTATTATAAGGATCTAAAACGACTTCTGGTGATGAAAATTTGGTACTCGAAATTAAGACTCCAAAATTATGGGTTGAAATAAGGGTCATAAGCGTCAGAATAAGGGGTCAAATAAGGGTGATGGGGTCATATGGGGCTATATATGGGGGTCATATGGGGGTTGGCGAGAGGACCGAGCAGGGGGCGTAGTACAAAATGATTATTCATTTATTTCCCTGTACCAGTTATCTGTAAAGTTGGCTGCCCGTACAGCCAAATGTCACTGTCCCCGTGAACTTTACACCTTGATTAATCCCACCCTTCCATGTTAGTCCCCTCAGGAGTAGACTTTTTATCTGAACCTGGCAATTTCCGCAAAGGATTTATGTACTCCGTAGGAGAGAGATAAACTGAGGGAAGCCTGATTGTCGACGTAGATAATCATTGGATCTTTATCGGTAGCTACGTATGAGAGATCGCCGGGTTGTGTAATTGGAAAGTATGAAGGACCTGGGAACTCAGTGGACTATTTGACGTTTTCTAAATCGATGTCTTACCTCTGCCACCGGCGCTCTTTATTCTGTAACAAATAATTGAGGATCGAATTATTAGAGATATTCTCAGTAGCATAGAGTCAGTGAATAAATGATTAATTGTTTATGCATTATACAAAGAAGAGGAAAAAAAACTCTTGGAACCTCCCGTATTTCAATCAAACTTTTGGGATTGAAACGTGAGAACGCATTTACAATTTCGAAATTTTGTTTTCTCGCAACCCTTCTATTTCTTCGAAGAAGGCTGCTGATTGGCGGAGCGGTATAAATCAAGATAACTTCAAGATGAATCTTGGATAAGTATTTTGGAATTTGAATAGCACAGGCGTATTATCATAAGGACCTTTTTTGTACAGCCATAAGTGAGAACTGAATTCGTTCTTATAAAAAAGTCCGTTTCTTCCCTCAAATTCTGAGGTACATCATGAGTACTCATCTCCAAACGAAATGTATGCAACTTGTGAATTGTTTTAAGGTATATCCCTAGAAAAAACGTTTTTCTTAAGATTGTTCCCATGTTTTTCATAGATAATCCCCAGCTATTGAAAAAATTCTAATTAGTTATACTACAGAGTTTAGACGATAATGAAGAATGAAATGCGGGGCTAGGCCAAACGGGGGTTATGGGTCCTTCCGAACTGGATTTTTCCATTTTATGAGAAAATGGTTCTTACGATGTTTATAAAAAAAACAAATCCGTGATAGATTGATAAATTCCGAATACGGTGAATTTTTTGCAAAATTTTGTACTGCGTAGTTTCCGTGAAATTCAACGCTAAAAAATGGGAATTTCGTGAAAGCATTTCTCATTTGATTCAAATAATTAATTAACAAATAATTTCTTACTTGATTCAAACAGTTATTGTTATCTGCATCAACAACACATGAGGATAGAAAAACTCAATAATTTGTAAGAATGCAATAAATTAAGTCATTTAGAATTCTTTCCGAAAACCCATAGCGACTAACTATTGGGTGCTACTGTCTTGGAATATACCTTAAAGAATCTAATCGGTGACATTCTATCGGTTCATCCCTAAAGCTTGTATTGTCATAACAACAAACAAAATGAGTTTATCCATACAAAAGCAATTTTTTTCAATAGAGCAAAATATCAGTTGATAATATTATTGCGAGTATATATAAATACGTACCTTCTGCAGTGAAGAAGAGTGACCATAACGACAGCTCCAATCACCGCCGATATGAGCGACACAATTATTAGAGTCAAGACCCAACCGAATTCTCCAGGTGCCTCTGTAAAAGAAATTCAAGAAATAAACAAATTAGAAATATTTAAATGATATTTAAATTCCATAAGTACCCTATAGAATATACTGTACGGCTGCGGCAGACGTAAACTTATACAGACAACCGCAGAGTAGTTAGTGTAAATGTGACATGGCAGTATCCCGTAAATAAGTCGTTTTCTACCGGCATGAGGAAATAGTGGTAAACTACCAGTGCGATAATTGGCGCCTCACACCACCAACTGTTAACCAAGAGTTACCACAGGGGGTTTAAAAAACCCAACTAAACTTACAAACGGTCGTTTCAAGGCTTACTATTTCCCTATTCACCTTGGGAAAACAAGTTCTATGCGTTGTATTCAATCGTATAATTACATTGTGAAGTACCCATGTAGTCGTGGCTGTTACTTTTCAGTCCAATGGAGAAAGTTAACGAGGCAAGTGCATCGGGAAAATTGCGAGTAAGGAATTTCTGAGAAACTGAGAATTATGGAGAGAAAATGCCTACTCGTTAGGTCTCAATTTAGGGATTTTATTCTTCATTAAAAACAATTGTTCAGTGTTTTTTTATTCCTTCATTTATATTTTGGAGTTTCGCACGCTATAACGAGTGATTCTCGACTAATTGCGATCGAGAGAGAATGGAGGAGAGAGTGGGGGAAAAGGGAAAAGGATCTGAGGAACCACCCACGTATTCGATCCCTGATACAAGCCATCGTTATAGCTAATTATCCCGGTCCATGCACGAATTGTCGGGCGGTTCGGGCTTGTTGTAAACACCACCCACTCTTCTACCTTCATCACTTTGGAGGGAATAATTCTTTTCTTTCAAGTTTTGCCGGAAAAGTAGATAATTTAAATTGAACGTTTTCATTAATTATATGGCTACAAGAAAAGAAAATTCCTGGTCAGTTCAGTGGTCATTTTCTGGAAGGAAAAAAAAAATTTTTTAATTTCACAGAAAATTCAATAAAATTTCAATTTTTGGAGCAGCCGGAAAATAAGAATTCTCCAGTTTAATTCAATTTCCAATGTAAATATTCAGTAACGAATTGTCCTGAATTTTCAATTAATTAAAAATTTCTGATTTTTATTCATGTTCATGAATGATCGAACTGAAATCTAGTTTTCATTGATTTCTTCAAATTGTGAATTTTCAATGGCGAAATCCCTTGCAATTTCAGTGAAACTGGCACTTGACGGAAATTTCCAAGAAGTGAACCGGACATTCCAGTCGAAGATTGTTAACAGTATATGTGACTCAAGTACGGTCTGCCCATGATTTCGGCTTCGGCGTAAAAGTTCTGCGTACTGAAACGCACTGGACCCCCCAAAAAAAGGACCCCCCCAAAGGACCCCGGTAAAAGTCTTGCGATCGCAAGGAGTTTCCCGTAGATCCCCATTTTTCTTGCACGAAGAACAATTAAGCTTTTTGGAATCTTCGGGAAATTCCTTGCGATCGCAAGACTTTTATCGATTTATTTTTTTCCGTGTAGAATACGACCGATTCATGGTGATAATAATGATTCCCTAAACATTGGAACGTTTCACTAGCGATTTCCTCTATATTGATAGTCAACACACTTAAAAAATTGTAAGAAAATTGAAATAATGCTTCAATGTTTGGCTTCATCAAAACTTTATTTCTAATCAGAGTATCACATGAAGTACAATTGAAATGTGTAGAATAGCATAATGCTCTCTTGAAATTTTTGTCACACAAACATTACATTTACAGCAGACCCGAGTGGAAATTCTGTTCAGGTCTCGATCAAAAACTGATCAGGCATGTTACGCCTCTGCCTTAGGTTTTTCCACTAGGGGAGTTAAGAAAAGATAGCGTTTTCGAATCAGCAGACAGCTTTTTTTGGTGACATTGTTGATATGTAATCTGAGCGAGATTGGTGTTAACATTTTTTAAAAAATAGAATTGGTACAGATCCATTCGGAAGCTTACTACCAATGCAATTAGTAAAAATGATAAAAGAAAAAGAGTTACAACACATAAAGAAACGGTAAGATGGCTTCTATTAAAAAAGCTCGAACCCCTGCTTGTTTTGTTTCATATTATGGCAGTGTTTGATACTGTGACAGACACAAATGTGTAGGGGGTCATACGTTTTGAGGGTCGAATTTTGCAACGATCAGGGATTTTTACGATTCAGGAGCTCCAAGAGTCAGATGTTCTGAGAGTGAATTTTCTTTTTCATAATTCCCAATTATGCTTGCGCTGTCCGCCACGTGGGTGGATAGGGATTAATAACATTGAAAATTTTCGGAAGAAGTGAGACGATTGAAAAAATTGATAAACAAACAAAGAAATAAAAATTGAATATTCATTAGTTTGACAGGTGTGATTATAGATATACTATCTTTTGATATGAAGAATAATAAATTATGCCATAATGTAAATGCCATCATGGAAAAATTGAACAGAACGAAAGAGAGACACTGCAGAAGATTAATCTTACAAATAACAAATAACTTATCCAAACTAATAAAGATAACGATAGAAATAACAACGGAAGTCGGTGTAGAAAAATATATAGGAAATTTTCCAAGGATTTTCAGGAGAATTCATCATGGAACCATTGCTACAGATCCATTCGCAAGCTGATTTCCAATAAAATTGGTAGAGAAAGAACCAAAAACAGTAATAATGAATAAAGGAACGGTCATATGGCTTCTGTCGAATAGGCTCGCAACCCTGCTTCTCTTCACATTCAAATCCTTCCTCATACAACTGAAAAAGCAAATTTCAAATTGAGTTAAACCCTGACAGGTGGCTGATTACAAAATGACAGTGTAGAAAGAAGACCATTGAAAAGGAAATAAAAATCCTACAGAATCGACACAAGACAAGACATAACTTTGAATTAACTCTGACAGGATACGAATGAGCGAGAATGAGTTCTCAAAATGAGAACGTCTCTCATCGTCTCATTGGCTCTTCTCCTCTTCATTGGCTAGTGGCGCATGCACCTCTGACGTTAACATAACAACTTGCACCGTTCCTGCCGATAAGACTCTAACACGGAAAATCTCCCGCAGGGAGACAAGGAAACAAGTAAGTTGGAATGAAGTAGTAAAGGGAAATTCGCGGGAGCGAGTTGGAGGAGTTGGACTCACGAGTGTGCATGAAACTCGAGGTATTCCTCCCTGGTGAGAGAACTAGGCGCTTGGGCCAACAGTAGGTTCAACCTGATGATCTCGTGTCAACCCTGCGATGATATTCGAATTCTCAATTATAAATGATAAATCATATATTTCCATTCCTGTCAACTTCTCACACTAGATATAACGGTCTTTGAGCCTTTGACGCTCCTGGCACCTTCCGAAGGATGTTAATCAATTTTACAGATTTATAATAAATTTGAATCTAAATTTATAAATTTGAATTGCTTTGGAATACGTTTCTCCTCTCCGACCCCGTCGTAGTATTGGGCGAATGGATAATCGAAAATTACTCAACCGAAACTTTTCATCCATTCTCTTAATTCATTCGCGAAAGCTATTCGCGCAATCATCAACGAAGTTGAGATCAAAGTTTTAAAATGGTCGAATTAAATATAATCGGTTATTTCATATTCAGCAATTTGAAATTATAATAGTAATTTTTAATTTCTATCTAATAATCCGCTATGTCATAACCAATGAGTGACTCAAATTTGAAAATTCCGAATTACAATAATAATCGATATTTCGAATGTAACAATTCAAATGTGATAAATTAAACAATTCCAAATTACAACAATAATTAATAATTCTACATGAATGAATCTCAATTACAGAATTAATAGAAAAATTCCAAATGGGAAAAATGATTGATGATTCAAATTCACTAATTGCAAATAGCAACGAAAATGGCGATTTTGAATGCACCAATTTTAAATGAACGGTGTTAAAATTTAAGGTACGAGTTTTTAATATAACCAGTAATAGGTAATCCAAATTTCGAGCCCTATTGCGAAAATTTCTATTCTTATTAAGAATCCAAATCAACTTCTAACTATTGAAAATAAAAACTCGAAACCAAGATCATAAAGGTTAGAATGAGCGTTAGAAGAAGGGTCAGAATGAAGGTTAAAATAAGGGTCAGAATCATGGTCACTAGCAGTTCAAATCCAAAATTTCTAATTCCGAAAGTAATTTGTAAATGTACGTGACAATTGAATTTCCTATTGTCAAATTCTGAAATAGTGGATTATCGAAGTATTTCAGTAGAAATAGTATGTTACGCAACAAGTGCGTAATGGGTTTTTTTGGCTCGTGGGAAGTTGTAAAACGAGCCGAAGGCGAGTTTTACAATCCCACGAGTCAAAAAAAACCATAACGCACGAGTTTCATATAATATTTTATGTCATAGGGCCCAGAATCTGCGATTCTACCGAGCGAAGCGAGGTTAGAATCGCGTGATTCTGGGCACCTATGACATAATGTACTATTTCTCTCGTAAACCCCTTTCGGGTCTTTACGATTTGTTCCCTTCCCACCCCCCAACCCCGTGTACCACATTCGCCGAAGGACAAGGGAAAACCTCACTTGAGAGAAAAACCTGTCCAGGTACAGTGGTCTCTTGCGAGACTCGCACTCGACAAATGAAACCGCGAGCTTTAGAGTCTCACAAATTTTGTTCCCCCAGCCGTGAATCGAACCCGGCTCTCCCGCATGCCAATCCCGGGTATGAGTCAATTTGAGACACTCGGGTATGAGTCAATTTGAGAGTGAAATTCGTAATTGTCCTGGTAGCTCAGATGGTAAGAGCACCCGACGGTAAATATTGACTGTTTTATTTTGAATAAAAAAACTTGGTTAAACAAAAGTAAGAGCACCCGACGCGACATTGGGAGGTCCCGGGTTCGATTCCCGGCTAGGAAGTTACTAATTTTTTCTCTCAAAAAATTAAATTTAATTAATGCCTAATGATGGAAGGTGGAGAAACCCTAGTGGAAAAACATAAGGCAGAGGCGTGACATGCCTGATCAGAATTTCGGATCGGACTTGATCAGTTTCTGATCGAGACCTGAACAGAATTTCCACTCGGGTCTTTCGATTATGTTTTTAACTCATTATGCCCAACACTGCTCCGGAGAAAACTTTCATTCATCGTAAGACAAGGTACTTATATGTTAATGATAAAAAAAACCTCGATGCCACATTAATCCCCATTTTATTTTTACTAGAGTTTAGGGACAGCCAACCGAATCATATATTCAACCGTGAGTTTCTCACGCACAACACCTGCGGTAGAGGTCCACATTTCGTTTTCGATTGGAAGACCCAATTAAACTTCGTGATTTAGGGAGTGCATTTATCAGCCACTTGATACTTCTCATCCCACGTTCTCACTCTGTTCATGGCACGGTTGAACATGAATCATTTTGTCCTAAGAAATTCCTCGACGGATCAACGTTTTTATTTAAAATATCGAGTGACGTTGTGAGTATTATATATTCACGGTTCATCACCCGCGGGAGCTACAGGTACCGTTGCATTAATTCGATATTACGGCGGGTTTTGAGGTGTTCAAAAGGCACTTTGGTGAGTGAACCCGTGGAGGTAATTGTTCGGGTGGGATCACATGAGAAGAGTGAAGCTGTCATTTTGTCAAGAAGCAGCCACACCTCCAATCGACTTCAAACGATAATTCAGAAGATGGAGTGACAGATAATTCAATCTGGAATTTAACAATCTCATCTTTATCTAATGTAGAGATTCAAGTTTTTGAAGCGATGGAGATTGATCTTTCGAGAAGTCATCAAAGGTCCATTATTATCCACTACCCTATTGTTACATTCTGATGAATTCTTTTCAATTTTACGATATGATATACTTCGCGTGATCGGCTTGAGCGCGTTACGCTTCAGCGAGACCAGACGGGTTACATTTTCTATAAAAGCCGGTTTCTATCGCGTGCCAGACAGCGATTGACTCGTTCCTGTCGGTGACTAAATTCACAATTCAGAAGTGCTGTTCAGGTGTGTCGGCGACTTTTGAGAAGTAGAGAGATAAAAATGAGTTAAAACGGGATGTGGAACGATTTCGGAAGGTCTCGGTGGGGAGAATGTGATACTTGCGTAATGATTTATGAGAATTGTGACAGTCATCATTTATTACACACTGTAAGGCTGTTGGGGTCTCCACCTTGGTGAAAATGTTTTTATGGAAATTTTAATGGGGAGGAGACATTTATTGTAGTTTCTCACTCGTTGAAAGATTTTTCATTCATAATTCAATGCAAAACATGGGTGATGTAGAAGATTATTGAATGTCGATAGTAACATCAACTATTCAGAAAGAAATTTTTTAATTCGATTTTGGATTCATAAAAAATGACCCTTCAAATGATTAAAACCTGACAAAGAAAACGATACATTTGTGGATTATTCAATTTTCATTTAAATTTCATAACAATAAAATCCACCAAATGAAGAAAGAAAATCTTAAAATGGGTTCTTCCATATAGGGTAAACAGGTCAATTTCTGGACGGGGTTAGTTTCTAGACGATTTCAACTTACACTGAATATTCCATAAATAAAATGAAAATTGTACTGATTATTTCACCTTTCAATAATGTTACTCGTGTACACTGTTAGAAAAAAAAAAAAAATTTCATGGACAATGGTAGTGGACTACCAATTTTCAGGACAGTGACATTGAATGCGATTTAGGGGGAAAAAATCATAAAATTTCAGGTTTCACTGAAAATTCAGTAAAATTCCAGAATGTTAAGCAGCATAAAGACGAGAATTACTTAATTTATTTGAATTTTCAATCTAATATGAATATTCAGTGTCAAATTGCATTGAATTTTTAGTGGAATCGGACATTTCGTGATTTATTTCCCCTTGAATCGTATTCAGTGTCGCTGTCCTGAAAAATTAAAAATATAGTTACCAGAATTTTCTAGTTTTCTGTTCATTTTCAGGGAAAAATGGAACGGAAATTTACAGTTCTGTAACAAGATTTCCTGAAATTTCAGCGGAATTGAAACACGATAAAAATTTCCGGAATTTGGCACGGAAAATTCAGACAAAAATTTTTAACAGTGTATAATCATATGATCAATTATTTTTTCTATTGATCGACATTTAATAATTAAAAATATCGCCCAGTCGTCCAGAAATTAGGGGTTTCGGCTGCATTCAACTATTTCTTAATTTAATTATTCTCTGCTTTGTTATTTTGACTTCAAATAATTTTTTTCTGCTAATTAAAACATTATTGAAGGTATGGAAGCCATCATATCCCCATTTAGGTGCTTCTTTTATTTTAGATCCTTCCACGAAACTCCCATTTCCCTTAGCCGTCCAACAATTGGCCTGTTCACCCTAAGTACAAAGTCTATCTCTCCCTATCTAGCGTCCAATTGAAATAAGCACTACCCACAAAATCATTATTTTGTTTCAAAAAATCGTTCACTAGTTTTAAAGTTTCGTGTTTTTCGGCTGAACCTATCGTTCGGTAGCATCTCGTACATGCAATCGTATATGTATCCCGCGTTTCACGCACGGCAGCCATCTCTCTCACCCACTTCTCTCTTTTACGCGTAAACCGTTGCTTCGCCCAACACAGCAGACACTGTCCGCCGATAAATCCACGGAAGACCCGAGATCCGTTCCAAGATTACTTTTCGCCGAGGTAACATCCATACACGTACACGGGTGGTAGAGAAACGGAGAGAGAAATTTTTGGGCTTCAAGGTGGAGGAGGTATTATATGTTTTCAAGAGCTCACTACACTGTTTCCCGATCTCGTTTACACCATGCATAACAGGCGAGAATACTTTTAGAAAGAGAGTAGCGATGGAAGGGAAAAGGGCGTAGGGTGGAGGGGGATGAAGATAAAGAAGAAATAAACAAATAAAATGAAGAGAATTTCCAGTAGTACGGAGGTGAGAAAAAGAAAAAGACAGAGTCAGAGGCAATAAAGAAAAGAAATAATAACGAGGAAGATAAAAGGTGGAAGAGAGCTCGTTACTACGTTCCAGGTAGGCTCATTTTATTTCACATCTCTCCTCTACCCCCTTTCCTTTTGTTTTTCCCTTTTTCATCTTTTTTTTCGCCCTGAGTGGTTTTCTCTAACGATATACAAGCTTCGGCAGGTACCAGATAAGAATCACGAGAGACAACACAGAGGTACTGCAAATTTTCGCTTACTGAATTCCCATAACGAAAATAAACAGACAGGAAAGGGGAAGAAATTGGAAGAAGAAATGATAAATGAATTTTTGATTTAAAAAGCTTCATTCTCTCATTCTTCTTTATCTACATATAGTGGATGTACGGCTGAGAGGGGAAGCGAGAGGAGGAGAAAGAGTGAGTTCTGCAGTATTGGAAGATTTTAATACATTTTTTCCCAGCGGGTAAATATAATTCAAGATCAAGAGAGAGATGTAGGGAGACGTGTGAACGAGTTATATGAAGAGATGCAACCTCTTGCTTGAGGTGTGATCTTGTAATTATTCCGGCGTGAGTCTACATCTGAGAAGTGACGCGATGATTGCTACGTTCTACCTCGAGAGCTCTTGCTGACTTATCTTATTTCCACTCTCCTGGTAGGCAACATTGTACTGAGATTTTCCCGCGTGGAAAGTGAAGTACTTTGATTTAGAGATGTGATTATTTTTTTTTCTGATAATGGTGAGCCTTAGAGAATTTATGTTTCCTACCATGATCCCAAAGAATTAACAGGTAATAATTATTCTAAAGATTGTAAGTTAGAATGGAAATTCCTATGATAAAAGCAAATTATATTTCTTGAAATTATTTGATGAATGTTTCTGGAAAAAAGATCATTTCATTACAAGACTAGTTTTGAAAGATATTTTATACGGGATATGAAAAAATAATTTGGACATTTTTCTATAAACTACACGGAGAAGAGAATACGAGAAGTATTACTGTGGAGCAACGTAAAATGGGTTAATGGGGGCCAGAATCTGAATGTTTCAGTCAACGTTGTGGAAATGTATATTTTCGTCATAAGGCTAGAAAAAACATTGTGAGTGTTGCAGATCGAGACGAAGCCGAAGGCGCCAATTACATATCCCCACGAGTCATAAACGATTTTGTGGTCGTGTAACGAACATAATTTTATAACACTAGATCCCATAATCTGCGATTCTAACCTCGCTTCGCTCGGTTAGATCGCGATTTCTTTGGGCCCAGTGAGATAATAGTATATTTCGTTACGAGTGCGGAAAAGAGTGCGGAAAAGCTCGTGCTATAAACCTCCCACGAGCCAAAAAACACTTTTCCCACGAGTATCGAACAATATTTTTCATCACAATGTGTGGAAAAGGGACGTTTTAACGTCCCTGTGCGAAAAAGTAACTTTTTCGCACAGTGTCATGAACAATATTGTATGTCACCCGGAGATGAAAGTATTTTCTGGCTCATGTGATCATAATTCTCATAGTCACTCTAATAGATATTTTATTTAGTTTTGTATTATTTTTTTATTCAAATATACGAAGCACCTGAAGAGAAGTGCCTTGAGCGCTCAAAACGTTGTGCAATTGTTTACTTCAATTTATGAAGTTTTGGAGTTTTCTTTATATTCTCTACCTACAACACATCGATTATGGCTCTAAACAATCACCGATGTAATCCGAGCCGAAGGCGAGTCACATTTGTACAAACTCACATTCGCCAGAAAGTACTTTCATCGCCTGATGACTTAATGTACTATCTTGTCACTGCGGCTACACGTTCACCTCGTGCCGAAATAGTTATTTTCATTGCTCAAGCCCAAAAAGGGCTCTTTTACCGACGGTAGTTAAGCATGAGAAGTAGGTCTTTTTACCGTTGAGCAGTATAAAAGTGAGAAATGCACTACTTAGGAGTGAAAAAGTGAGAAATGCACTCCTTAGGACTGAAAAACGTGTGGCGCCACCCAGCGTTAATGTACCGAAATATAAAACTACATATAAAAACTGATAAATTCAGCCAGTGAATCCCCTTTATTATCTTCAAAATTGTTAAATTTTAAATTTGAAAATACACCTGAAAATTAAAATGAAAAATAAATTATTAAAAAATCTTAATTTTGATAATAATAATATTAGAAATATCNCCACAAAGTATTTTCTGACGAATGTGGCTTTGTAGGTCGAGCCGAAGGCGAGGCCTATAATCACATTCGTCAGAAAATACTTTTGGACCGTGTGATGAATGTAATTTTTCGTCAGAAGGCCCATTAACCACGATCTAACTGAGCGAAACGAGGTTAGAATCGCGGTTTACCGGGCCTTCTGACGAAAAGTGCTTTTTCGTTTACTTGTAAATAAAAAAATACACAGTTCGCAACTCACTGAACGTAACATCACTGACAAAAAATATAGTTTGACACAATGTGTGACGGGAATTTTTCAGCTCCTGTGATTGGTACCCCTCGGCTTGGCCTCAGGCCCCCAACTTCTCACTCATTAAAAACCCGTCGCACTTGTATCGAAATGTACTATTTCTTCACTCTGTCTTCGAAACGGTTTTTGACGAACACGAAGTGTCCGTAAAATACAGTTTTTGCCAAGTGTAATGTTTACAGCCCAAGCTGAAAGCATACACGTCATATAATATAATATATAATTTAACGCTCCGCGTGTGTAGATCGCCGGTTAACAACTCGGTGTGCCGTAAATTGTTAGTCGTCGTTACGACGGCAAGAAGAACGCTATTCCGGAACCCAGTCTGCATTTATTGCTTTAGAATACACGGAGTAAAAAATAGTAGAAAAATGACTGCTAGCACGGCAAAATGGGTTCTCATTGTAAAAAAATTATGTGCTGGGAATGTTTCTTGGATTCACCGGAAAAAAATCCTATATTTCGCAGCAAACTTGCTGGTACTGGCCCGTGAATTTTTTTGGGTGCGTCAAGATACACTGATTTGAGCATGCTCCATCGTAATTTCTATATCATCCCACGTAATAAGTTGAGTTTGAAGCACACTGCACGGAGTGATATAAAATATTATAGACCACTCGGGTATGAATTACGTTTTCAACGAATGTGAGTTCGCTTCACATTCGTAGAAAACAGAATTTATGTTCTAATACTTTTCAATAAAGAACAAAATTTAACTTTGAAAAACTTCGAGGAAAAATTTCATATTTATAATTTTTTTCTCCTAAACTGTGACTGAATATTTACAACGTTGCGTTGCAATTATCACTGTAACCCCAACCCCTGTCTACCATGTAAAACAAATAACTCAGATAATTAGATTCACGCATAATAAATTTCCTCGCTCAGACGCATCTTATGAACCATGAAGCAAACTATTTTAGTCCTAAATGAGACATAAATCCTGATATACTCACGAAACTGAGACGAACAAATGAGGGGAGACTCTTCAGGGCAAATTACGCGGAGAGAGGTGTGTTGGAAGTTCATCAAAGAATGGGCGTGATGTTAAAAAACGTCGAAAAAACGCACATACACAAAAGCAGAATCAGTAGGTGGGGCTGCGGAATGAGTGGAAACAACGGGTGCCAAGTTGGATTCCGTGTGAGTCCGCCATAGTGGCATCAACACGCACCACCATTGGTCGGAGGAATACCGGATGTGGTGCTACACCCTCCCTTCCACCCAGCACAAAACTTAAGCCTATGACTGGAGTAAACGTAAATCCACCTTCCATTACATTCTCAAAATTCTTATCTGTCAGTTTGATTTATAATTTGACAGTTCCGCAGGACGAAACTTTGCGCCAGTTCCCACAAATTCATTATAATTTTCAGCTCGGCGTCAGTCCAAATAATTCGACAAGAATAATAGCGCTTATAGTTATTTTTAATTTCAAAGATAAACCAGCAAAAATAAATGTTGACAGTCTAGTTCCTCTTGTCAAATATTCATAGTCGACCACAGGAGAAGCTTTTAAAATATTTAATACTAAATGAAAATCCAGTGGTCCTAGAGCGTTTGTTATCCAAACATCAAGGGGGAGGTTCAAGCAGGTTTAAGTGTCTGCCCTAAAGATCTTGTGTTTCTCATGGATAGAATTACATTGTCATGGGGATTGAATGAGGGGTTTTAGGAACTCACCGAGTGTACCATCCAGGGAAAACGATAAGTGCCTGTCATTACGCAGTGCCCAGGTACAAAGATCACAGGTAGTAAGCCCATCGGTGGCGATGCCCTCTTCAGGGAGATAAGGGGGTCGTGGTGGAGGTGGAACAAAACTACCAATGACAGCCCAGAGGGAGTCAACGTCATTACTGGTGTAATACAGTAGTTCTTCCTCAGCTATACCAGCGAACCAGTTGATGTCATCACTTGGACTCACTGGGGGATTTGGTGTTGATGCTGCAGCTGTCATCTGGAGAATAAAAAGAATCTTTTGTTTATATTCTTCGAGTGCAGGAAGTAATTTAATTTAACTTATAAACATTTGTAAACACAACATATAAACATAGAGAGCATTCACGTGGCTGAGGAATGGAGTCCGGAAATGTTTGGACGACCCCAAAGTCAAACATGTTATTTACTTTACATTTTCTCGACTTTTTTTTCATTAAAAAGGCCACACCGGGTCCTGAACAAACATCTATCTAATGGAGGGTCCAACATATTCAATCATACCGACAATGAAAAAAAACTACAGAGCTAGGGGGCCCTGATTCCGAACTACATATCTCGAGAAATGCTGGAGGCAAACACTGAAGTATAGGGGAAATATGTTCCCCAACCGTCAAAGTTTACGAACGTTCAACAACGAAGCACGCGTCGTAAAGTGTACAAGAAAAAAGAAAAGCAGGCGGCGCTAGAAACTTTTAACCAAAGGCAACACGTGAAACAGCCAATGATACCAACAAACGCCCTTTAGATTTTCCACGTGTGGATGCCAGGTGAACAATAATTAAAACGTCACAGCAAAATTATGGAAAGAAGAATAACGACTGTTTTATTGTTACCTCCTCGTAGTGAGCAAACAGAGTATGATCAAGGATAAAACGTGAGTAATAAAAACCTCTGGAGCAGAAGTGAGAAAAATATGGAAAAAATTCTTCGGATTGAATTAAAAAAGAATTGAAATTGAATTGACTCTGATTTAACATCTCCCCTTCCCCGCTCGCAAGATTTGATGTGATTATAATACTAGCGATATTAAAGTCCTCCGCGTCACTGTTTACGTTTATCGAGTCGAATGAGGGGTGACTAGCAAGTTTTGACATTATTTTTCTTTTTTACTCCTTCCCTCTTTTCTCATTTTGAATCCACTCGACTCCTTTTGTAGTGTCGTTTCAGGCGCCTGTGTGAAACGTGCAGGATAGGGAAGAGGGCACGCAGACGGAGAAATTTCCGACAATGGCGAGCATTGATCGGCTTAATTACCGTGATATCAGCGTAATTAAAGATCCGTTGTTGCCATCGTCCATGCAGACAATTTTCACTCCTTCATCCAGTTGGTTGAATGACTTTGCACATTGTACACGCATTCACATGTACTTTTTTGTTATTCATCAACGTCACTGTGAGACATGTGGATATGAGTATCATATTCACATGAAATATTTCCCCTTGCGAAATAAAAACAATTGTAGAATTGATGATGACAATTGAGTACATTAATCCATGATTACTTTGGTTGAAAAAAATGTGGCAAAATTCCGGAGACATCTGGTGGTTAACCAAGAATTCCTCAAGACTGATGCACCCCCTGGGGTGCCCCCTGGACCCTCGAGATAGGTTAGGCAGTTTTTAACGTTTGATTTGTGACGTCTGGTCGATGAGAAATAACGAGGAAGAATTCGCCCTCGTCCTTGTTATCCTCAAGCTCCATTTATAATTATTGCGTGTTGACTTTTACGATACTCAGGTTCACATGTATCCAATGAAAAAAAAAATTATCCAACCCGTCGTATAACAGTTTACAGTTCTGACACATGTAGAAGAGTTGTTGAGAGTGTTGGCAATATCGAAAGGGCTAGAGTGAATTTGATTCCCTTCTCGAAACACAAGCACAATCGGTACATCAGAGTCTTTCGTCAGGTTGACTCTTTTCACCTTCACCCTTTTATGCTACTTTATTTTTCCCCCTTTTATCTCTTTTCCCCCCCGTAGCTGTCTGCTTCACTTTTGGTGGACGCGCGATTCGGGTTTGAGAGGTCGTTAAAGGGATGGGTTTGAGCGGTCCCTGGGGCCGTATATAATGGATAATTGACAGCCGTACTGGCCGCCGTTTGCGTTTGCATGGACATTGAAATTCACGTGTGGACGGAATGCCCTCCCCGCGCCACCCCAATCATTCTGTATCTGAATTGTGTCCGTTCCTTACAGGCGCACATTGAAAGTTTAACAGACATACTGTGGCCGATGCGGATAACCCACTCCCCGCTGAGAATTCGACGTGATTTCTTTTTATTCAGTATATTTCACTTTAAACTTTCGTTCATTTACTTTTCCAATGGTCTTCAACGTGCAAATAGTAAAATATTTGCCTTGCGGTATTCACTTGTGTGTGTATTCCTCAGGTACTGAAAGAGTGGAGTCGATGCTAAAGGAGTCTCGTAAATTCTTTGGATACGCAGCAAAACTTGCCGGAGGTGCGAGCTCTCTCTCGTCGTATCCTGACGAGAAGTTGGCTATGTCCTCCATCTCACTCAGTTATTCTTGGTATGGGCTTAATTGCATTATGGGAAAGGTGGAAGATCCGTGCAAATTCGAAACGACTGGACACCACGTGTTGGAGATACTGCACGTTCTGGGAATTTTTGGACATAACCCGGGTATAACAAACGACTTAAAACTAATTTTGTTCATCGTCTCGTTAAAGTTACTGAGGAAATAAAAATCAAGGGATGTTGGGGGGATAAAGAACTAAATGAGGGTGCATGTGTAGAAATCAGCGAGATCATAAAAAATATGTGCCGTGAGCTAAACACCTGCGCGTGCCTCTCAGACGTGCAGCTAGTTTGGCTAACGACTCTTTCAGTCCCCACTGTTTCTCCCAATCTCTAGGGCTCGTATGCTGCGGTGCCTTTATGTGAACAAAACTCTTCGATGCCCCACTAATTTCAACCTTTTTTTGAAAACAAGAAACAACTGCAGGTGTAGGTTTCCGTCAATATTTCAAGGTCTCGGCTCATCATCATGAGTTTAGACACATACTAATTCTTTTTGGATGGAGTTGATTTCTTTTCTGCGAAGTCACAGGAGGGAAAAGTGACTTGTCATGTGCTCTCGAGCGATAGAGCACCCCGGCCGGCATGTACCTGGGCTATCGATCCCCGTCGGTATCCCGTCGACCCATCCGCGTAACCCACATCATGAGCAAGAGAAAAAAAAACCGTGACTCGTTTATCCGTTTCTTTTTATTTTTTCTTCATTTTTCATTTATCGAGTCACATGCGGGTTTAAAACTAGTTCCCAAGTGAGTAAAGAGAAATTTATTGGCGGGAGTGGGAAAAAAATTTGAGAATATATTTTTCTTATCAGTGGACGAAGTGCTTGAACACACTTCAGCTCGTCGAATCCATTTAAAAGAGCGTGGTAACATCTTAATCTCCACCTGATTTCCCTAAAAGAACATCACACAGTTTACGAGGCAAGTAAAACAAACGGAAATTCAATGGTGATTTTTGTTTAGAGAATTGAAAGGAGCAACGCGACGACGAAATACGACAACTGGATGAGCACTCAATGTCCATCTGAATGTACGTTCGAGTATCATGCGGTTGATTTTCTTTCAGCCAAGGGAGCGAGGCCTGTGGTCTCCAGCTCCTCCCCAAGCATAATGACTCAATCCGCGATCTACCTTTATCCCCACCGACCCTCTTCTAACCCCTCTCTCTCCGTCTATCTCTCGTGTGGATGGCGGTTGTCTCTCATCCGTAGGTAAGGGTATCCATCCTTCTTCCACCTATAACCCACACATACGTATTGAGCACAGCTCCGTTCTTTCATCCGTGCCACCCTGCCTCTTATATTTTTTTTCGTTTCAGGCTCTCGCACGAACCGAAGATTATACACCCGTCGGCCCCGTTCCTTTACGCTGAAAAGCCGGCGACCCCCAGAGACAGTGTACTGCCAGTGTACAGATATACGCCTGTATACACGTTTCTTTGCGCGTTATCTCTAAGGTTCTCGCGTGATAAAAAAATTTTCGAGTTGTGTCTGTATTTCATTTCATCGATTATTTCATGGATATTCTTGACAGATTATTTTATGAGTATTCTCTTATGTTGGAGATAAATTACGGGAAAAACTATCGAATGCATTACTACGAAAATTTATCCGTCGAACGTCTATATCACAGAAGATGTCAATGAATCTGAAGGTTTCGATTACGCTGTTGAAAATTCTTGTCTGAAAATTCCGATACACTTTTTGGAAATTTTTATCGAATTTAATTACCACTGAAATTTCAAGGAATTTCGTCATTGAAAATGCAGAATTTCGTGGCAAAATCAAAGAGAACTGTAAATTTCAGTTCCATTTTTCCCTGAAAATAAATAGAAAATCAGAAAATTCCGGTAAATATATTCGTGGATTTTCAAGACAGTGACACTGAATGCGATTTAGGGGGAAAAATCATGAAATTTAAGATTTCACTGGAAATTCAATGTAATTTGGCACCGAATATTCATATTAGATTGGAAATTCAAATAAATTAAGGGGTTCTCGTCTTTATGTTGCTTAAAATTCTGGAATTTTACTGAATTTTCAGTGAAACCTGAAATTTCATGATTTATTTCCCCCTAAATCGCATTCAGTGTCACTGTCCTGAAAATTAGTAGTCAACTGTCCATGAAATTTCTTGTCATATGACCAAATTCTGACGGCATTAATATATAACTGTTATATTCCAGCTAAATACATGATGGTCACTCCTCAATTTTATGAGATATTTCGTGACACAAAGTCTATGTGACCATCTAAGTAACAATAACAATGTCAAACTACTCAAATTATTTTATATAATAAGGAGATATCACACGTTTATGCCTAAATGTCTAAAAAAGAAATCGCATACATGATGATACTAATGTTGTTGATAATGATATTGATCACTGACGGTAATGTTGATGTGAGTGATTTCCAACGGAGTATGTATTAATTCTCAATTGAAGTGTTCATGGATTTCGACAAATTTCTCCTTAGTAATACTATAGAAATTCGTATATGTGAAAGAACATACTGATTCTAATCAACTTAAATATTAACGTGATGAATCATACAAAATCTATCAAATTGACAGGCGCGCGGAGCGCGCCTTCGATTTCGCAACAAAAAAATATGACGTCACATGACTGTCATATAAAGATCATAAATTTGACATATGATAGAAAAAAATGATGGTCATTTGCACATCCCTAC